CTTGCACTCTGGGTCATGGGTACCAATGCAATGGCTTCCCCTTTTTTCATGGAATACCAACTGCAATATGGTCCTCAATGCTGTTCTGGCTATTCCAATGATTAATGCCAAACACTTGTATGGTTAATTTTTTACATGTTAAAAATACTTAATGCTGGATATATGGTGATTTGGGTGTACCCCATTTGGTTTCTGGTGGGGGGGGTGGTCTTTTGAAAACTGGGTTTTATATATTCTGCTGTTTTTAACGTGTGGTTTTTTCCGATATCTGGGTTCTAAAAGAAATCTTTGGAATTAAGAGAAAAACAAGCTGAAAAGGAAGAAAAGCAGAAAACAAAGAAAATAGAAACAAGTGCAGAAAAGTTGCGTAAGCTCTTAAAAGAGGAGAAAAGGTAAACTATAATATTCAGTATTTTTTAACTTAAAGCAACTACTGAGTTGAACCAAAGTGCCATATGGAGGTTAAAGTAAGTAAAAAAACAAAAAACAAAAAACTATTGAATCATAATCAGTGATAGTTTGTAAGTATGTGTACCACACATTTTTCTGTAAAAGAAATTAAGTGGATTCTAAAGGTAGAGTTCTGCAAAAAAAAAAAAAAGAAAAGAAAAATCTTAAAATATATAATAAATTGTTTTAATTATCTGTATTTTAGGGAGAAATGTTTTAGAACTAGAGCAGTGGTTCTCACCTGGGGGTGGCTTTGTCCCCCCAGGGACATTTCTGGTCGTCATAACTGGTGGAGTGGTACTAACGTGTAGTGGGTAGAGGTCAGGGATGCTGCTAAACATCCTACGGTGATACCCCCACCCCCATCATCACCCTTCCTAACCAACAAAGAATTATTCAGGTGAGAATGTCAATAGTGCTGAGGTAGAGAAACTATATATTAGAGGTAACCAGATACAAAACTTCATTTCTCTCCTTTATGTATTCAGATGGACTTAAATTTTTTAGACAGTGTTCGAGATGTGACTGTGTCTTCAGAAATAATGGATTTGCTTTCAGTGACAATTGTCTACACAGTATTTTTTCCCCAAAAGTCATGCCTGGTAGTAAAATTGGATATTGTAGTAACTGATGTTATTATAGTAATTGCTTATCTAAAGCCACAGCTTTTATGAAACCTTTAAAGAGAACAAAGTAGGACTAGAATCTTTATGGATAATCAAGAAACATTTTTGTACTTAACGTATTTGATGGGTTAACGATATTTTTTAGGCTAAAGAAGAAAAGAAGAAAATCAACTTCTTCCTCTTCAAGTGTTTCTTCTGCTGATGAATCTGATTCTTCATCATCCTCCTCTTCCTCTTCCGGTCACAAAAGGCATAAGAAACATAAGAGGAACCGTTCAGAGTCTTCTCGAAGTTCCAAAAAGCATTTAGCTAAGGCCTCCTCAAGTCAGATAGATCAGAATAGGAAAGATGAGTGCTTCCCAGTTCCAGCCAATACTTTAGCATCTTTTCTTAACCAAAAACAAGAAGTGGAAAAACTACTGGAAAAGCAGGACAGGTTACCATATCAAAAGAAACAGGTAAAAGAGAAAGATAGATGCCCTCTCTCTTCATCTTCAGTTGAAATTCCGGATGATTTTGGAGGTAGGTCTGAAGATCCAAGAGATTTTTATACTCAGGCAAGTAGTAGCAAAACAGAAAAACCATATAAATCAGAAAAACATTCTTCCAGTAGAAGAGATTCCTCAGATTCCTTTTATAGGAATTCAGAGGACAAAGTGAAAACTTACAGTTATAGAAGATTTGAAAAAGATACAGAGGGAAGAAAAGAGCACTATAGAAGGTGGGAGCCAGGTTCCGTGAGGCATTCCACTTCACCAGCAAGCTCAGACTACTCATGTAAGTCAGTTGAAAAATACAAAAAATACACTTGTTCAGGGTCACGTGATTTTAGTAGACATGAGCAAAGATACCCGTTAAATAAAAATCAAGGAGAATATGAAATAGAGGATAATTATGAAGAGGATATTAAAACAGAGGTTCCAGAAGCAGATGGCCTGAATAGCAAAGAGCAGTCAGAAAGTGGAGTTAAAAAAAATTTACCTCAGAATTTACTCAATATATTTAATCAGATAGCTGCATTTGAGAAAGAAAAAGGAAATAAGCCAAAAAAATAATATTCCAGGGGATTCAGTGCCATTACACAAAAGGCTTACATGAAAGTTTTGGGTCTTCTAGTCCAGAAGAATCTCTACTCCTAAAGGTATTTTATTTGTAGAGATTGCAGAAAGCAGATGCTTTTTAGCTATTCTCAAAGTATATTTGTTTCAGTTGTGGTTCTCACAGCTTGATTTTTTAGGCTTTTCATGTGTATGTTTCTGTATGGTATTTCTTACTGTGATGATTTAAACTTCACCTAAAGATAATTCTCAGAAGTTTTGCTTCCTCATGGTATTATAGTGTATGAGAATTCCTCGGGTCCACCTTATCCTGCTGCTTGAGAGAAAATTAAATTTGTTCATTGAACACTTGGATTGTTCAAAAATTATTTCATTGTCTTTTCTGTTAAATTCTGTCTTTTCCCTCAGCTTTTGAAAGAGATACATAGTATTTGATTGTTCCTTAAGTACCGTTTTCTATTGATCATTTATTTAAATATCACATTTTTTGTATAACTTCTAAGATTATATACAGATGATCTGTCTTGCCTAATTGACCTCTAAAGTTTGATTTAATTAAAAATGGTTTGTGTGCCAGCTTAACAATACCTTAGGAATAAAGCCATGAAAGTTGAAAATAGGGGCCCATTTTGCTTATTTTTTTTTTCTTAAACCTATTGTTAGCAGTATAGCCCTAAGAAATTTCTTAACCTTAAATATTGGCAAGACCCTTAGAGACTATATACCAGGCAAGAATAGATCAGAATAAAAAGAATCCTTTTAGCAAAAACAGCAGTGGCAAGAGAAACACACTCTAAATCTGGTTTTCCCCTAAGGGAAAGAAAATTGGGAAACTGTCCTAGTATTGCATATGTCCAGTTGGGAAGGCACTGGGCATGTTTTAATTCGCCTAGAGCTGGCCTGCATTTCCTCTTGATACCTCTCTCCTGGCACTTCCCTTGATACCTCCCTTTCTTAGGGTCTGAATAAATGACAAAAGCCTGGTTTTACTCAATAAATTCCAGCAATTGGAGCTGAAGAAGTGACTTAGATCATAAAAAATCCTTCCAGATTTGAAAACAGAGATTTGAAGATAGAGATGGTAGTCATGGTTGTTGATTTAGAACGGTCTTTAGAATCTTTCCCATTTCAGGTTCTAGACACTGTGACAACAGGCCTTTAATGCTACGTCTGTCTAAATCATTCTAATTGGGTATGTCCTGTTTGTGGCCTTCAGACTTTAGCATTGGGAGCCTAGTGAAAAAGCTAAAGTTTGTTTTACAGTGGAACAGAGAAACTGGTCAAAAACCATGCGTAATAGCAGTAGGAAGGTCACTCAGGTCATTCATCTTTGTACCAAGAAACTCATCTTAAAAGAGTCCCTGGTTCTTTCTGTGTATTAATAGCTCCTGTATCATCCCTACATAGTCCTACATAGTGGTTTTTGTAAAAAGTGAAAAGTATCTCGACATGGTCTTTGATCTTTAGGAATTGCTAGTACATCTTCAGTATTTTACGTACACCATTTTATTTACTAAAAAATCTCTGAGCATCACTATCAACCAGCACTATAATTTTCCAAGGTGTCTTTGTGGCTTAATGTTACATTCAGGTACAAGAAAATTAGGATAGTACCTTATATAGGCTTGCCTGAATTTATGAATTCCATCTTCCCCAGTTTCTTTCCCGGAACATACTAAATTTAAGCAGAGTTTACAAGCCAGTTTCTAAGGATGTGTTCAGGAAACCCGTCACAGCAAAAGAATATTGGGGACTGGCTTACCAAGAATTGTTAGTAATTAGCAGTTTTTTTCCTTATCATTATGTCTATACTTTGTACACACCCAGACTGTGTCTTGACTTCCATAAATAACTTTCTAACACAATAGGTGGATGTTTAAGATAACTCTCCACATTTGGAGATAATGGGTTTGTGATCCCTGTGTCACCATATAGCATTATTATACACATAGTGTTGGAACTGTTTATTTAATAGAGTTAAATACGGACTTGTATACTGGCCTAGAACCTAACCATTCCACAAATATTGTGCTAGCCTTTGGGTGGTGACTCAATAATAGGTAGAAGTTACTGTGCAATTCCTAAGTCAGGGCCTTTCATATATTTGATTATTTCAGTAAACTTGTGGTGTAAGTAACTCTTACTGTCTCAGTATTACAAATAAGGAAAAAAGCATAGAGAAGCAACTTTCCCTAAGGTCAAAGAGCCAGTAAGACAATCCCTGCCTCCACAGAACAATGTTTAATACTGAATTGCAAGTTCCAAGTAATTTACAAAGTAATGCACACAAATGCACTTTGCGGTGAACACACAAAGTGAGCATAAAATTAATCAGTTTTTAGATCTAAATTTCATGCATTTAGAACCTTGTTTTACAAAAAAATTATTCATTGGACTTGGCTATACCATTTGCTGGCTATTTCTAAAAATAATAAAATAATCAGGAAAAACGGGTTTACTGCCAATACTACCTTTCAGAAGGAACTGTAAATGACACTTCTAAACAATGACAACAGTTGTGACAAATTCAAGGTTTGAAGGAGAAATATTCAGTTAAGTATATAGTTTCTAAGTATATATAGCTAAGTATTTAAAAGCCAGTTTTATAACATCATACTCCACACTCTATTCCAAGAGTTGAAAATATTGGGTTCATGTTCTACAATAAGGTATTAAACGGAATAACATTCTAAATCAGGTGGTCCATTTCTACCGTGAATTTATGGGATTCCTATTGCAAATCAAATCATACCTAGCTCTTTGTCTACTACATCAAGAAGGTCTTGGGGGGAGAAAAGTCTTGAAAGTACATCGTTATTCTTGAAAACAAAATGTTTAATGTGTTCAACTTCTTTCAAGATCAGAGTTGAGTAATTCTTAGAAATTTCAGCTGCATTTTTCTTAATATGCAGTGCTCTTTCCTATTAATTGTATTTTTGGGGGGAGGGAATAAATGCTAGTTTTTGGTTAAAAATAGAAGTTTCTTCTTCAAAAGAAACTAAGAGACTTCTCCCCCAGAAGTCCAAGAAACATGTTTCTTTAACTAAAGCAAACCTAATTTTAGGATTTTCTAGGGTAAATGAGAATTTTAGTATTATATTCAAAGGACAGTGAATCTTCAGAAATTTCCTGAAAGATTGTGTTAAATTAGAATTGAAGTAGTTTCATGGCTAGCATGAAATACTGAAGCAAACCATTTTCTAATTTAACAAACATCAAAATAACAGTGAAAAACATCATTTTCTCTATGCTTATAAAACATGTAGCCTTGTTAAAGAATCTATTACTGCTTTCCTTCTCTGAAGAAAACAGTATGGCAAAAGCTAAGAAAATTAAGCATTTCTTTGGCTTATCTGAACCTAAATTGCTTGACTTTTTAACTCAGTTTTCACATTTTCCACAGGGTAAACTTTGGTCTAGTTATTGCATATTTCTAACACGATTTCAGTGGGCCTCTCTCATATAACTACACAGCACCCAAAAGCATAGGGTGGAATTCACTATCTTAAAAGTAAGATTTTTGTTTTCGTGTTTACAACTTATACAAGAGATTAAAATGTTTATTTGCAGCCCTTTTTGTTTTTACCATTACTGGAGCTACTGGTCGCACTTGGTGGCCTAGAAATATTGCCAGTCCCTGAAGAGGAGGCTGGGAAGTTCAGCTCTAATACTTTAATTGAAGTCTGAGAGGCAGTAGTTGTGGAACTTCTGGATGACCTACAGGAAAAGAAAACCAGCACTATTTTAAATTGAATTCAAAATCCTTATTAGTAAAGAACCCCTTGCTAATGGCAAAAGATACCATAATCCCACAAGGAATTAAAAGAGATCAGAAAGTATATACTAGTAAAAGCATAACCATTCATGTCAAAAAATGCGTTCAAAAAAAAAAAGGTAATGAACATAGAGTTTCAAACTAGTTCAAAAATATGTTTCTATATGAGAAAAATATTTTCAACTATAATCAATTTAGAAGTGGAATCATTAAACATTGAAAAGGTTTTGCAAAAATCATTAAGCATAAAGTGCCATGGTAATTTGGGTGCTGGCCAGAGTGACTACAGTAATAGTTATGTAATCTAAGCTAAAGAGAAGAAAATGAGGCCTATTGACAGGATAAAGTGGGGTCATTTGAAAAGCATAACTAGCTATACAATTCTGAAATGCTAAGACTTAAAAATATCGAAATACAGTGATGTTCAGGTTACTCCTTACCATGTTTATGTAGAAACAGATTTGTTCTACTTAAACACTATCTTTTAGGATGTCCCTTTTATTTTCTGAAAGCTATCTGTGGACAAGTGAAAAATAAATGGCTATTGAACATAGGAGATTGGGAATTTTAAAATTAAGATCATTAATAATTTTGATTTTGTCAGCAAAGCACAGAGTGTTGATTAAACATCAATCTACCTGATAGAATTCCAGATAAAACTGAAGTGCAGAAGTAAAGAATAATTTCCTTTTTAGCAAAATAAAGCAGCAAAAATGAAATTCTACTTAAAACTTCATAATGTGGTTTTAATCATAAAAATCATATGTCTGTACATCTAAGTTGCCTTTTTATGGTTTAAAAAATTCTCCCCAGAGGCGCCTGGGTGGCTCAGTCAGTTAAGCAGCTGCCGTCCGCTCAGGTCATGATCCTGGAGTCCCGGGATTGAGCCCTGAGCCCCGCATCGGGCTCCCTGCTCAGCGGGGAGTCTGCTTGTCCTCCCTCTGCTCCTCACCCTGCTCATACTCCCTCTCTCTCTCTCAAATAAATAAAATCTTAAAAAAAAAAAAAAAACAAAACTCCATACTCAGTGTTAACCATGCAAGACGTAACCTCCAAAATTTCACCCTGTTTTATCCTACGGAAAGCTGGAAGTCACAAAACACTCCTGTCCTCATAGAAACTGACATCAGACAAATCAGAGGGAAAGAGTCTTGCTCTGCTGGCTGTTACCTGCATACATAACACTAACATAGAAAGGTGGGTAAGGAGGATAAGGAGAGCACTGGCAGATCCAGTGGCTGTAGCGGTATTTGCATAGGACAGAGAGTTGTTGAGATGATTTTTAACCTTCCACTTACCTTGTTGATACCAGTGAAGTCTGTGAAGCAGATCTAGAACTCTGGCGACTGCCTTTTGTACCAGCTGTAGGTAGTTCTAAACCATTCTGGAAGAATATTCAATAGCGATCATTAGTACCACTACATATTAGAATATTTTGAATTAGACTTTATGATAAATGCCATAAATTTATTTGTGTTTAAAAAATATTTTAGCTAGAAGGTACTGTTATTACCTGTTGAAAGTATGTTTGAAGGATAATACGGATCTCAGCATTTTCTTCTGTGACATCAACTAGCATTTCATCAATGATCTTGTGGAAATGTTTCACTTCACGAAGTTTGATATCTTGTTCTTCTAGTGTTTCATCTTTTGTGTCTTTCAAAAGTCGGATTTCCTTGGTGAGTTTTGCACACTGTTGTTGGTCAAGAGTAGTCAGTTATTATTTAAAACTATTTCCCAGAACTTAGTATTACGGATGAAGGATTTGGAATTACATTTGGAACTTGAAAATATATAAATATGACAGGTCAGTTTTTAAAAAGACAGCAGTACCTGTTTAATTACTCTCTCTAATTTTGGCTTCTGCTCCTCAGTTTCTCTATTTAGTTGAGATGAATAAGCCTGCTTCTCTGATAATTTTTCTTTGACATTATTTGTTAAATGTTCTATAACTTCTAAAGTATTTTCCATGCTCTGCAGAAAATAAAGCATTAACATACTTAACTGGTTAGAATCAAGAACTTACAACTTGCCATTTTTTCAAGTACTTAATTCATTTATTTTTGTATATAACATACATTATATTGGTAGATAAGTATAACGGTTCCTGGATTAAGTTTTGTATATAATTCCACTGGAAAGTATTTTTATGGTACTTGGGGGAAAAATAAGTCAAACAGTGGCTATTAAAAGCATGCAGTTTTCAAAAATTCATACCATTGGTTCCTTCAAACTAGCAAAAAAAAAAAAATTTTATATCGAGCTTGCTTACCAAGCACATTGTTTTCTCTTTCAGTGATGTGGTTTAGTAACTACTTTCTACTAGATTATTTTTATCTTTCAAATTTTAAGGAGCAATCTTTAAGGTGATCTTTAAAGAATTAAATGAAATAAAAGTTCATTAAATAAAAGTGGGTAGATGTAATTAGCTGGCTATGATTCATCACCTAATTAACAAGTCATTATCAGTCCATCCTGTGTTTAGTACTATGATTTTAACTAATTTATTTAATACTTTGGTCACTTGTTTTTTTTTCTCATTTTAATTAAATGAGACTATCTACTTTAAAAAATTATCTTCTTTCTACAAGATAACAAGACAGTAGACATAATAATAATGATAGTTAACTTTTACTAAGGGCTTATTACTAAAGCCTGTATAATTTACCTGGATATCTTCCTGTAGTTCCCTGATTTGTCTTTGTTTGTATCTGTATTTTTCATCAATAGCTCTTTTTTGTTCTTCTAGTTGAATTTTTTGTTCATACTCATCACCTAAAATTAGAGAATTATTAAATTTTTAACATGCTATGTAGAAAGCAAGCTTCAAGTCTTACATATATTAAACTTCTCTAACATTTTTTGTTAACAGAAAGTTAAATTCCTTGTATCTGCTTGTTGAAAAACAGTATAAGCATGTAATGTGGTAGCCATTCTTGTTTTGTCAACATCGAGCAACCAGTGTGCTGCTATTTTCTTCTCATTTGAAATTAATTCCCAGAGAAGTGATATGCAATACTGCTAGAACTAATAATGGAAATAACAACTTAGTCCTTATTTTAAAGGGGGCGGGGAGATGATTTTCTGACTCAATCAAACATGGTACATTTTTGTTTTCCAAGTCTCACAATGTTTTGCTTTAAAAATAAGTAACTACAGCTTTAATTGCATATATTCATAAAAAATTTTTAATAACTCCTACATACTGGATGGAGTCACTTTTTTAAAAGATTGTTTATAATTGTTGTTGCAACTTCTCAGCACTTGCAAGGTGTTTTCTAGAGCATAGATTTCTTTTTCAGCTTTGTTGATCTTAGCATCCAAACTGTCACCTTCCCTTTGAAGTTCTTCTTTTTCTTGAGCAGCCTATGAAATACAGAATAGAAGTGACTGCACATATGGTGAGTGCTGTGAACTATGTAAGACTGATGAATCACAGACCTGTACCTCTGAAACAAATAATACATTATATGTAAAAAAAAAAAAAAAAAAAAGCAGGAAAGGAAAAATGAAGGGGGGGAATCAGAGGGGGAGATGAACCATGAGAGACTATGGACTCTGAGAAACAAACTGAGGGTTCTAGAGGGGAGGGGGGGTGGGGGGATGGGTTAGCCTGGTGATGGGTATTAAAGAGGGCACTATTGAATGGAGCACTGGGTGTTATACGCAAACAATGAATCATGGAACACTACATCAAAAACTAATGATGCAATGTATGGTGATTAACATAACATGATAAAATTTAAAAAATTTAACTTCTTTAAAAAAAAAAAAAGTGACTGCACCAAAGTATCAGGAGAAAATTTCTGTTTCCAGGGCAGGAAATAGTATACTCACAACAATACCAATTTACCTTGGGGCCTACACGCAGCATTAAGCATTTATTTCTTGCACTTGATTTAGAAAAGAAGACTAAAGCCCCAAGACCTTCAAAATATAGTACATAGGATACAAACTGATGGAAGTGTAGTAATTAACCAAAGTTTACATTAAAACTTTCCAATAAAAATTACCAGAAAGCTAAGCAGGTCTACACTTTACTGGAAAGAGAGAGGGTTAACTAGAAGGTGGCTTCAAACTAGATCTATCCCATAAGAAGAATACATGTTTCTGGCCTGAAAGAGGCTTAGGAACACTTTCTCATTTTAAGTCTTAAGAATAAAGGAGGTAAGCAAACCTAGGAAAACAAATGCATATTATTTCCAACCCAGTTATATTGCTATTAGAACTAGTATTTCAACGTTTTTGAACAGTTAAGTAATATTAAAATTAGAATACTCACTTCGGTAGCACATACTAAAATCAGAACAAATAGAAAAAAATAGTTTGGTGCCTGCACAAGAATAACATGCAAATTTGTGAAGCACTCCGTATTTTTAAAAGGAGAAACACTGCATGATTCCACTTAAATGAGATGCCTATAATAGTCAAATTCACAGACGGAGGATAGCACGGTGGTTGCCCGGGGCTGAGGAGAGGGAAAAATGGGGACTCAGTGTTTAACGGGTAGACAGTTTCAGTTTTGGAAGATGAAAAAGTTCTGGAGATGGATGTTGGTGTTGGTTGCACAACAGTGGGGATGTACTTAACGCCACAGAACTGCACACTTAAAAACTGTTAAAATGGCCAAATTTATGTGTATTTTGCCATGTTTAAAAAAAATTTTTAGGGGCGCCTGAGTGGCTCAGTCGGTTAAGTGGCTGCCTTTGGCTCAGGTCATGATCCCAGGGTCCTGGGATCAAGCCCCATGTCGGGCTCCCTGCTCGGTGGGAAGCTTGCTTCTCCCTCTCCCACTCCCCCTGCTTGTGTTCCCTCTCTTGCTGTCTCTGTCAAATAAATAAATAAAATCTTTAAAAAAAAATTTTTTTTTTAATTAGAGAAAGATAACTGATAAATGTGGCTGGAAAAAAATGCAGTCTATAAATTGCTGAAAACCAAAAAGTCTCAGTAGTAGGCATACTCAATGACTTTTTCCAGCTTAACTCTGTCACTGGGCTAGGCTCTCTACAGTTGTATCCAAAAAGTTCCAAAGAACTTCTCCAATTAAATGTTGACAGTGATAATATGAATACATATTTAAAAGTGCCAAAACCCATTTTTAATCAAAATTAAATAATTTAATTTGTTAATTTATTTAATCCCTAAGTGTGGCATGTATTTAAACCAGAATGTGGCCATTTGAAGTTTTATTGGTAATTCTTTATCTCTTAACATTTTCACTGGTATTTATTATGCTTCAAAATATGTTAACACATATTTTTATAGTAAATGGTACATACGAATACAGTTAGCAAAAAAAAAAAAATTCTTAAATTATACTCTAATTCCAGTTAAGTTGAGTCTAGAATTGGCAACCTTTTCATTCAAAAAATACTATAGTGGAAGAGACCTAGAATGAATCAAAACAGCTAGATTTTAATTGTGGATATCCTACGAATGAGGTAACATTAAATAATTCATTTTCCTTCTCCGAGTTCAGTTTATTTGTCAAACAAAGGGGCTGACTTTGTACATTTATATATATTTCTTGATCTAATTCCATACGTACCTTACACTAAAAACTTTTATGACCCTATCTGGTTCTAAATCAGACATTATAGAATGTATACCTTTTATCCTAGATTAGAAAGCTTATATTAGAAACAAATTTTTATTTATACCTTTCTGTCAACATTTTAAAGCATTTTCTAGTAATTTCATTTTCTAACAGTTTCACTAAATTGTGGTCAGAACTGGACTGTAACCTTATAAAGACCACATAAGACACACTGAATCTAGCTACAAATAAAAAGTTTCATTTTTACACATCTGGCACATGTGAAGTGTTAAGAGTAAAACATTTAAATATGCTGCATAATGAAAAATGGAATAATGTGGCAAGCTGCGGACCCTAGAAAGGATGGAAAGTGAAGAGTGGCATTAGGAAATTGGGAAGGTAACTGATCGCCTTGATTCATCTTACATATCTCTTATGCTGACATTTATCCAGCAACTTCACCGTGAACAGAACACACACTCTTTTCCTCATAAAATTTGCCTGTTTTCCTGAGAAGTGGATACATCATCATCATCGTCATCATCATCATCATAGCAATAACAATAATGACAGCAATTTACTGAGGGCTCATTTTGTTCCAGACACTTAAGGGTTTTACATATATTTCTTTTGGGGGGGACTTTTTGTTTTTTTTCGGAAAAGTGCTTCTTACAAAAGGGCAGCTGCAAAATACAGAGACCTCTGCAACAATTATTTGTTTTTTCTTAGAGTGAAAGAATGGGTGGGATCCAAGGAATGAATCAAAGCAGTAGATGGACAAATGAGGAGCATCTCCAAGTTCTTTTAGGAACTAGAGCGAAAAAACTCAAAGCTAAAGTTTCCAATCTTCTTCTAACAACTTAACTTTAGCTCGTCTCGTGGATTACCACCCCCGCCCCCCCTTTAGTGGAAAAGCATGACTTACTCCTGCCAACCAATGACCCCACTATAAGAAACACCTTGAACTAAGTTCTGAATCACATCTGTCTACCTGCAAAGCTCAGGGATGGAATGAGGCAAATACCCACAAAAACAAAAATCTGACAACAAAACCTCAAACGAGGACAAACATTTGTCCAAAAGTGCCTGGGCTGGAGAGGCTGGGAGACCCTAAAACATTAAGTACAGCTGTGTATCCGAGCCCTGGTTTGTGTTAATGAATGGGACCAGCAGACAGGTGACCCCTCTGTGGCTAAGCCCATTTCTCTATTTATACGGACAGAGCTAGCACCGCTCTACCGACAGCTACCAATATCCTGCTTTGTCCTTTATGGTCTGTGTGCCATACGAGGCTGCAGTTTTTCCACTAAGGCTAAGAACACAGCATCTATGCAGGGACAAGAAGCTTTTCACACACTCTCATACACACCAAGTCCATCAGCCCTCAGGAGTCCGCTTCCAGCTCGGCCGTTCACTTAGGCCACTACATCTGTTGTACGTGTTCCTTCTCAACTTTCCTATCGTGCTAAACACAGTAAAAATCTCAATACGTTTGCACCTGGTTCTGGTTACCCAGTAGTATGACTTGTGCGCAATTCAACAAGAGACCAAAACCACAGAACAGGTGCACAGTGGGGGTTATGGGGTAGGGAACAGATTTAAAAACACAGATGTGCAGATTTCACCAGAAACCTCGGGTATCCACCTCGTAAGTCTGTGGCAGGCTACGTGCGACAGTGCAGATCCGTCACCCGTCACCTCTATTCTTATACCCCAAAGCAGGGCCAATGCTGTTCTTGAACCTGGGGTCCTCCAAGTAAGTGTGGAGAGTCCATCAACGCTACCCTAGAATGGTGTCAATCTGGTGGAAACCAGATGACGCAACAGACCTACGCTGACAGTTAAATTCATGTTACAAAAAAATTAGCTTTAAGATTTATTTTTGTAACTTTTTTTTTTAAACAGAAAAAAACACACTCCTTGGGGAAAGGTGAGGGATTGAGACAGGCCCTGGGTAAGACGGATCACAACAGCACCTGGAGTTGATAGGCCTGCCTAGGAAAGAAATTCGGGCACTACCACACCACCACAGGGGACAGCTACTGTCTGGGGCTCAGCAGACCAGTTCACCCGCCACGTCAAGCTGCTATAGATCCAAGTCATAATAATCTCCCAGCTCATCATGAAACAAGTCCCACTCATCTTCAGAGTCTGTCAGGTCGTCGTCCCCACCTGCAGCCAAAAGCATAAGCAACATGTCGCCCAGCTCAAAGGTGACAACCTCCTCTTCTTGTTGTCAAAGGGGTTGCTGTTCTCTCCTCAATGAGCTCCCAGAAGTGGTTCCTTCGTTGCTCCCGGTATCTGCTTGATGTTCCCACTTTCTGTCTCTGTGGCTCCTCTCTACGGCCATCAGGGTATGCATGCTTGTAAAAACAGTTCCCTCCAAATGGGCAGCTCCCACGTCCTTCATCAAAATACCTGCATGCCTTGTTGCTCATTGCTTCCTTGTATTTCTGAATGAGTTTCTGCTTCTCTTCTTTCTCCTCCACCAAGTTCCACTCACTTGGAATGACAAAGTTAGATGTGATCCGGCATTCTGGGCAGAACTTTATGATCTTGCTCTCAAATTGCTTAGCCCTCCTCCACTTGCGAATACACTTGAGACAGTAAGTGTGGTTGCAGTTGGAGAGAATCCCAAAGCGGTGCTCACTGGGGTTGGCTTTTTCATAGACCACCTCCATGCATATGCCACACACCACGTCCTTACTGCGCTGGACAGCAAATGAGAACTCCATGTCCTTCTCATGGGCCTCAATGCAAGATTTTATATGTTGCGATCTCTGGGCAGCATCCGTCGGATGGAGGACCTGCAGCCCACACATGTCACAGGAGTCTCCGTGGAGATACACAAAGTTCTCCCCGTACCAGCACTCTCTGACCGTAGCATAGGGGCAAAGCTGCTGCTTGGTTTCTGCTGCCGTTTGCTCTTTCTCCAATTGTTCCTTGGTCACTGAGCCCTGCGGGGATGCTTCTAGTGCAGGAAGGCGCAGTACGGCCACAGTAGGGCTGCCCAGGAACAAACTCAATGGCATTCACCCGTCTTCTGAACCTGCTCCTACAGTTGCAAAGTTTGAATTTCTTGACTCAGCTTCGCCTGTATTCATTTCAACAACTGGTCCAATGCCTGATGAGAGACTTGAGGAAGCAGCAAGGGATGATTTTGCAGTTAGATCTGCAGCAGTCACTTCGTCCTGTTTCAAAGGCTTACTATGTTCATATCTGCAGCAGTCTCCGTAAATACAGTATCCTCGCTGAAAATACTTGCACACTACACCATAAGGACTGTCAGAGAGGTCATGCGAGTAGTGACAGTTATCTCCTTCCTTATAAACCCTGTGCATGAAATACCTCCAAGGTTTCCCTCCTGCTTTTGATGTTGTTTGTCGTGGTGGGGTTCAGAGCCGACGGCCAAGAAAATTCTTGAGATGTGTTCAGTGCCAAAAAAGGTGGTCTTATCCAAACACCAGGACAAGGAAGGACTCACGGTTAGAAAAGGTTGCCACCACATATACTTCTTCATTTACTTCTCACAACAAAAGTAATAATATTCTCATTTTGCAAGTGAGGAAACTAAGCCCCCAAAATGATTAAATAACTTATTCAAGGTCACCTGCTTGGTCAGTGATAGAACCAAGATATGGACAAAGGAACTCTAACATCAGAGCTTTTAGGTAACATCACATACCTTGTTGGAAGAAAAACTTAACTGGAATTATAACATCTACCTTCTTCCAACACTGACCAGCCTAGAACCTACCCTTCACCCCTCAGGAACCTTTAAAACCTGAGAGGAGGAAAGTCTTGTTAGTATCAGGTCAAAGCCTGAGGTACCACAGACTGATGAGTTACAAGAACAGTTTGAGAGCTGGGATTCATTTCTCATGTAGGTTAGGTGGAATTTCCTGAGGCAAAGTGGCAGGCATATCACACTCAGTGTATGTGTTAGGGGCACACTCAAAGAAGGGCTATAGAAGGAAACTTGCAAGATTAAGTATAAGTCAAAGGAAAGGGAACATCTGTCCACAGGTCATCCTCTAAAGGTGTGAATTAGATCTTCCCATTTCCTTCAGTGTATGATACAGGAAAAATGAGTTAAAGTTAAAATTTCCACTCCTTTGTAGTGTCTTGAATAAGTTCCCAAACCTCCGTGTAAAGGAAATCACACCTGTTCAGTTTCTACATGGCAAAAATGAGTATGGCAGTACTCAGGAAGGGAAATGCATCTAGTTCCTGATCACTTCTTCATTTCCCCTTATGGGTTACTCAGTAAAGATAACCATGAAATGGCAGACAAATCTCAAACATTAGAACAGAGCAGATTCACCCGATCTGTCTCTCTCCCATCTAATATGAAGGCAAAGGAACAGGCCTCTTCCTCTGGATAGCCACCATACCAGAGATGCACTGGTAAATTAGAGAATTAAGATTTCAGGGTGGTGTAGCTCCAGGTGATGATCTAGGCTATAGCCACATGAGTGGATGGCTATAGTGAAGTAAGGCCTTGAGCCTGAGGTGTTGAACAGGTTATCACATGAATACTAAAGACATGCAAAGTGACAGCAAGTGTTAAGGTAAAACAGATTATGAATCTTGAATAAATGAGGGAAAATGACATGACACAAATGATAGCAAAAAAAAAAAAGTATCAAAGAACAGTCCAGACCTCTCTTTGACCTCATGGACTTGAGGTGTATAGCTTCAGGGGGCGCCTGGGTGGTTCAGTCAGTTAAGCCTCTGACTCTTGGTTTCAGCTCCCGTCATGACCTCAGGTTGATCAAGCCCAGCGTCAGCTCTGCACTCAGTACAGTCTGCCTGAGGTTCTCTCCCTCTCCCTCTGCCCCTTCCCCCACTCGGGCAATGTTGCGCATGCCCACACTCTCTCAAATAAATAAATCTTTAAAAAATAATAATAGCTTCAGTACCTCCACCTAACAACTAGTGTTTTATGGCCCTGATCAAGTGCAGTAGCTACAAGAGCACTATGAAATTTAAAGTTGCATGGCAAAAAAAAAAAAAAAAAAGCCATTTGGTTGTTAACAAAGAGCAAAGATACTTCACTTTATCACAACTATGAATCAATTAAGATTACCTTTATCACATAATAGGCCTGTGTTTTCTCCTCTTCTCCTTCAGGAGGCAGCATTACAACAGTAAGAATTTCATATCTATTCTTCAGCTTATCAATTTTACTTAGCCTCTCATGAAACTCAGCACTAATATGGAAAGAAAAAGAAAAACACTAAAACACAAATGACATACATTTTTAAAGGACTATAGTGTTCTTATATGACATTTTTATTAATACTAAATTCAAACAGGTTAAATATATTCTCACTTTTCAATTTTCTAATTAGTGGGAAGCATCTCGGGTTTCACCCTATTTGAAAGCTAAGAAGTTAGGCTGCCATAGTTTCATGGAAGTTGGCAGAAGACACAAGATTCCTAGGTCAGAGAAAAAGGACTTTGTCATTCATGGTACACCAAGTCGCATGAGCCTCCTGCTTGCAGAGCTCTCAAAGTCCCATGCAAGTGAAGAGGAGCTCAAGTGGATATTACATACACCGTAGGTTTACATCACAGCTAAGGAAACTCAAGCTTAAGTAATCCAAATATCTTATAATGGGAACTAAGCAAATACATCCAATCTTTACTCCAGCAAGAGGATACCACCTCTAGCTTCCAAGGCTATTCACTATCATTTAAAAGATAGTTTAATGCAAGGTACCTCATTAGCGCAGTAGGTAGCGCGTCAGTCTCATAAAAGATAATTTAATGCAAATTAAAACCACAATACCATATTACATCACAGCCCTAGGGTAGCTACTAGAAAAAAAAAGAAAGGAAAAAAAAAGAAAATATTGGCAGGGTGCCTGGGTGGCTTAGTTGGTTAAGCTGCTGGTTCTTGATTTCAGCTCAGATCATGATCTCAGGGTCCTGGGGGCTCTCAGTGGGGAGTCTGCCTGAGATTCTCTACGTCTTCCTCTGCCCCTCCCCACACTAGTGCACTCTCTTGAACTCTCTCTAAAATAAAAAAATAAATAAATCTTTAAAAAAAAAAGTACTGGCAGGGGCGCCTGGGTGGCTCAGTCAGTTAAGCACCTGCCTTCGGCTCGCGTGTTGATCTCAGGGTCCTGGGATCGAGCCCCGCATCGGGCTGCCTGCTCAGTGGGGAGTCTGCCTCTCCCTCTCACTCTGCTCCCCACTGCTTGTGCTCACTCTGTATCAAATAAATAAACAAAATCTTTTTTTAAAAAAAAAGTACTGGCCCTCTCTCACTGTATCTATCTCTATCAAATAAATAAATAAAATCTTTTTAAAAAAAAGTACTGGCAATAATATGGAGAAATTGGAACCCTTGTGCATTATTGGTGGAACTGTAAAATGATGCAACCACTATGGAAAACAGTATGGCAGTTCCTTAAAAAATGACAAATAGAACTACCATATGATACAGCAATCCCACTTCCAGTTAGATAGCCAAAAAAAATCAAAAGCAGGTACTTGAAGAAATCTCAGCACCCCGATGTTAATAGCAGCATTTTATTCATAATAGCCAAGAGGTAAAGCAACCCAAACATCCATGGACAGATGAATGGATACACTAAATGTGGTATATACATGTAATGGAATATTATTCACCCTTAAAAGGAAATTGCATCACATGCTACATAGATGAACCTGAGGATATTATGCTAAGTGGAATAAGCCAGTCACAAAAGACAAATACTGCATGATTCCACTTACATTAAGTATCTAAAGCAGGCAATTTCATACAGACAGAAAGAATGGTAGTTACCAAGGGCTGGGAGAAGGAGGAAATGGAAGGTTATAAAGACTGAAAAGGGAGACACAAAACTGTTATTTGCAATTGATGTAAATGAAATACCTAGAAATTAGAATCTACCAATCAACTGCCAGAATTAATAAGAGTTTAAGCAAAGTTAATAGATTCTTTATAGAAATCAACTGTATTTCTATAATGCTAGTAACAAACCAAAAATGAAATGATTTAAAAGGAAACAACATTGGGCGCCTGGGTGGCTCAGTTGGTTAAGCAACTGCCTTCGGCTCAGGTCATGATCCTGGAGTCCCGGAATCGAGTCCCACATCGGGCTCCCTGCTCAGCGGGGAGTCTGCTTTACCCTCTGACTCTCCCCCCTCTCATGCTCTCTCTCTTCCATTCTCTCTCTCTCAAATAAATAAATAAAATCTTTAAAAAAAAAAAAGGAAACAACATTGACAGAAACATTTTAAAAAGTAGCAAGTAGGGGCACCTATGTGGCTCAGTCCGTTGAGCATCTAACTCTTGATTTTGGCTCAGGTCATGATCTCAGGGTCCTGGGATTGAGCTCCACATCAGGCTCCCTGCTCAGTGGGAAGCCTGCTTCTCCCTCTCCCACTCCCCGTTTGTGTTCCCTCTCTCGCTGTCTCTCTCTCTCTGTCAAATAAATAAATAAAATCTTCAAATAAATAAATAAATAAATAAATAAATAAATAAATGCAGCCATGGCGAAACATGTTATTGAACTCTCCCCACAAAACATACTTGAGGGCGCCTGGGTGGCTCAGTCGTTAAGCGTCTGCCTTTGGCTCAGGTCATGGTCCCAAGGTCCTGGGATCGAGTCGCACATCAGGCTCCCTCCTCAGTGGGAAGCCTGCTTCTCCCTCTCCCACTCCCCCTGCTTGTGTTCCCTCTCTCACTGTGTCTCTCTCTGTCAAATAAATAAATAAAATCTTTAAAAAAAATACTCGAAAATCAGTTCCAAGGGAATTAGTGATCTCATTACAAAAGGGATAATCTAAAGAATTAGGAGTTAGCCAAAGGAAAGGAGGAGGAAAAACCATAGGTTTATGACTAAGATGTGTCCAATATATTAAAAGCCTTTTCAAATAAGTCAAAGATGATCATCCAGTCAGTTCTTCTGACATCACGCTTACATTTTCAAAAAATTTTAGCAGTATTTTAAAACTTGAATTACCTTATGTTCTGCCGTTCTTGCTCAACATATCTTGTTTGTGATGCAAGCATTGTTTTGTGAACTTTAATTTCTTCGATTCGTTCTTCCATAGCTGTGTGTAATTGCTGCTTTCTTTTTTCCAGAGAAAGTACTTCTTCTGCCTTACTGTGAAGCATTTCTCTAGTACGTTTAACTTCAAGTTTTAAAAGATTGTCTTCTATCATCAAATCCTGTCAACATAACAAAATTGTCAGATACTGAAATAATTACTATTATACCCAATCCATAATATTTTCTTTTATTGCCACAGAAGTCAAACTTGAAAATATAACTTTTTCTAATTTGACCACTGACCAAGATAACTAGGATTAAATTTAGATTGCTCTGAGTGATGACTCTTGGTTTTTCTTCACTTTTTAAGAAAAGGATTTATTTCAAGTCTTATTATAATTCAATTTGAAATTTAAGTTTTACTAATAAAAAAAAAAGGAAGAAGTTATTCCCAAAATTGAAACTTACAATCCAGGAAATACATATAGTCCTGTGGATGAAAATTTTTATATTCTAAACTAAATCTCACAAAACAACATGTAAATAAATGTTTATTCTAAAAAATTCAGTCATGGATAGAGTACTGACATAAGAGTACACAAATAGATCAATTTTCAGAAGAGAAAGCCCAGAAACAAACACTCCAGAACATAAGACTTTATTATTTCAAAACATAGCTTTTCAGGTGGAGAAAAGATTAGATCCCTACATCTCAAATGTACCAAAATAAATTCCAGATTAATGAAAATTTTAATGTAAGAGAGAAAACCAATGTAGTTACTGAAATAGTAAACATTTGTTTGATTTTTAGTATGACAAAGAAGTTTCTAAGTATAAAAATTATGCAGGGAAAAACAAATATTTGATGTTAAAAAAAGTTTTTAATGTCAAAAAACTGAATAAAAATTTAAAGATAAGTGGAAAAAATATTGACAATATTTATGACAGGGTTAATATTTTTACATATGAAGGTCTTTTGCAAAGCAATTCAAAAATATAAACCTTCGCGTTGGTGGTATAGTGGTGAGCATAGCTGCCTTCCAAAAATATAAACCTTCTAATGGAAATATGAGCTAAGATAAAAATCTAGAAATCCAAAAAAGAAAGATTATGGAATATAACATACTAGAAAAAAATGTTTTGAACATTTTTTCGAGAGGGAGAGAGCATGCACAAGTGGCGGGGGGAGGGGACCACAGAGGGAGAGGGAGAGAAACCCAAGCAGGCTCCATGCACAGTGCAGAGCCCATGCGGGGCTCAATCCCACAACCCTGAGATCATGACCTGCGCAGAAAGCAAAAGCCAGACACTTAACCCACTGAGCCACCCAGGCACCCTTAAACATTTTTATTTAAACATAAATATTTTAAATTTTATGTTGAAACATGAAATGCTTTCACGTGTCACCAACTTAAAAAATACAGACTAAAACAATGAAATACGTTTGCCTATCAAGTTAACAATTTTATAAATTATAATATCCAGACTTACTGGTGGTGAGTAAAATAGAATGCTTACACACTGCTGGTGGGAGTATTAAATGAACCCTCTAGAAGAAGACAATTTGGCTTGAAAATAGTTTGGGGGCACCTGGGTGGCTCAGTCAGTTGACCACCCGACTCTTGGTTTCGGCTCATGTCATGATTTCAGGGTCATGAGAGCAAGTCCTTTGTGGAGCTCCCCGCTCAGCATGGAGTCCACTTCAGAGTCTCCCTCTCTCCCTCTGCCACTCCCCCTGTTCACGCATGCTCTCTCTCTCTCAAATAAAATAAAGTATTTCAAAAAAAAGAAAATAGTTTCAAGATACTGAAAATATTCATTCTTTTTGGACCATAATTATACAATTACAAATTTTTCCTAACTCATTAAATAACTATACAGTGATATATATGCATGGTATATGGTAGTACTATTTTTTTTTAAGTGGGCTCCACACCCAATGTGGGGCTCAAACTCATGACCTTGAGAACAAGAGTCGCATGCTCCACTGACTGAGCCAGCCAGATGCCCCTGATAGTACTATTTAGAATAACCAAACATTGGAAATAAACACAAAAGAAACACGAAAAACAGGAGATGGTTAAATAAATTATGGTAACTTGCATGCAATAAACTGTAGAAAGCCTTTAAAAATAATTTTTAAAGAATATTTAATGTTCAATATTTAATGCTTGCAAACATACATGGAAATAGAGAATATATTTAAAATTTTTTAAAAATAACATATATAAAGCCAATTTTCTTCAAAAGACTACAAGGAAATAATATAACGTTAACACCTTATCTTATATACAGTGATTTATTTTCATCTTTATAAATTGGTATATTTTTAAAATTTTCCATAGTTAGCATTAAAATGTGGTTTTTAATATTTCATACACATATGATTTTACTGCACCTGTTTCAAAGCTTTGGTTTTATTAAGTTCTTTCTCTGATCTGTCATTGAAAAGATTTAGTTCATTTATTTTGGTCATGAGGAACTGTTTTTCATCACAATTTTTACTGTTTGACTTCTTGATAAAATAAAGATCATTCTATAAAAAGGGAAAAGAGGTGAAATACATATTTTAAAATAATATTAAATACATAGTATTAAACATATCTTACATTAAATTATATGCTCCATTGAATATTTATAATTCGATTTTTAAATCTCATTCTTCATGCTCTAATGTTTCTAATATAATACATGTGGATATTCACACAGAAACATTTTCATTTTTATCACTTACTGATTTTTTGGATTTGGTTTGGGTTCAATAGTTCTGGTAAATATTATGTACAGTTCGACCTGAATTATTGGGTGACTGCCATTTATGGGGAGAAATAGGAGGAAGCCAAGCATCGGTTCAGTACACAGCTCACATTTTAAGTTTATTATTTGATTCAACCCAAGTCACAGAAGGCAAAAACCTTCATGGTCTAAAACAGCATAGTGTTTTGGTTCATGGTACAAGCTCTAGAATCAGATGGCCATAATTACACATTAGTCATCTGACCCTGGTGGGCAACCTATTCTTCTTTAGTTTCCTCATTTCTAAAATGGAGATGACAGTACCTACCTCCCTGAGCTGCTGTGAGGATTAAAGATGTTACTGTCAAAGAGTATGTACAACAGTGTTTGACACATAGAAGGGTCATGAATTCTTACTATTATTTAATTACATGTATAATCACATATTGCTAGAGAGAAAAATGCTAGAAAAGATCTAAGTCCATCAGATACATAAATGTGTCACACATACCCAGATATCAGTTTCCTAGCTTTATAACAATCTACATCTCTCCACTCAACCAGACCTCAGAACAAGGTTTGTGCTCATAGTCCCCTCTGGGTACCTAAAGCAAAAACTTTATAGTTCCAAGACCTAGTTCTGTTCCTCTCTCCTCTTTTACTCTCTCTCTCTGCCTCCCTCCTATGCCTCTCTCATTGCCTGTATTTTTCTTAGGTATCAAGACCTAAGATTGCAGCAAGACAGTAAGAAGAGGAATTTTTTTTTTTTGTATAAAGATGTGATTTCATAAAATTAACTTTTAGAATGAAAAAATTTTAACTTAAGGTGATTTTCAACCAGAAGTAGTTAGTTTCTATTATGCAAAATAGGAAATGGAATGGCATGGGAGAGGTAATGCAGAATGACTTGACAATCTCATGGTACTATTGAGAAGAGCAGACCTTCATTAGAAGGTTAACTAGCTTCAATATCTTTAAAACTTCACTTGCATTTCTTTTAATTTATTTATCTCTCTGTTAAAACCAGAGTTGGGATAGGCAAAAGTACTAGTCAACTGTATAATGGACAGAGCCCCAGAGTAGTTAAAAGGCAGAACACTAGAATCATTTCCACACAGCAAAACAGACACAATTCACACCAGGGTCAAGAAACATGCTGGCATACAAATGTCACCCTCCTATCATTATGTAGCATTAATATTCTCCTCATATTCTATGTAATTAAAACAAAACCATTTATTGAATACCTACTAAAAGCACTGTGTTAAGATACACGTTGCTTCTAATTCTCCCAAATGCCCTAAAATAAAATCAAATATTTTCTTTCATTTAATAGATTAGTTAACTAAGGCTCAGTTAACTAGGGCTCAGAAAATTTAAAGTAGCAATACTGAGAGGGAGGAGCAAGATGACAGAGGAGTACCCAGGAATTCAGCTAGATAGGTATCAAACCACTCTGAACACCTACAAACTCAAAAGGATATCTAAGAAAAGAATAGCAGCAATTCTATGAACAGAAAAGCAACCACTTTCTGGAAGGTAGGACATGCGGAGAAGTGAATCCGAGGCGATATTTGGGAAGATAGACCATGCGGGGGGGAGCCTCCGTCAGCCACTACCGGCAAGTGATAGAGCAGAGCACAAAATCGGAACTTTTACAAGTCGGCTCCGCTGAGGAATATCACTCCAGAGGCTAAGCAGGGGGTGGAACCCTCGCTGGGACAGTGTGGTCTCAGGACCCTTGGGGTTACAGAAAGACTGGGGGTGTCTGAATGTGGCAGAGCTCCCAGGTATCGGAGCAGGGAAGCCGGCTGCAGAGACAGAGCCGAGGAGTGGGCTCTCAGCTCAAGGTTGCCATAAACCGTGATCTGCACCACAGTGGGGCCACTGCTCTTCCAGCAGGGACCCAAAAAGTGGCAAATCCAGGAGACTCCCCTTCCTCACCCAGGAGGAGTGGCGCAGAGTGCACGGCAGGGATCTGCTGGGTTTGGAGTCCCCAATGGGGTCGTGCGCCAGAGATAGAAACGCTCGGTCACAGGCCAGATGAGCCTTCTCTTCTGATTTGCTTAGGTGAGCACGGAGTGCGGCCGGAGAATGGGGAGACGGGAGTGATTGACTGCTTTTCTCTGGGGGCACACTGAGGAGTGGGGCCCCAGTTCTCCACAACTCCGGGACCAGAGACAGGGAGGTCGCCATTTTCATTCTCATCCTCCAAAGCTGTACGGAAAGCTTGTAGGGAACAACACCTCCCGAGAGCAAACCCAAGAAGATTACTTAGCCTGGCCCCTGACAAGGGCAGGGCAATTCCACCTCGGGCAAAGACATTTGAGAACCATGGCAACAGGCCCCTCCCCCAGAAGATCAGCAAGAACATCCAGCCAAGACCAAGTTTACCAATCAATGAGAACGGCAGAACTCCATTGCTAGAGGAATACTGCACATAGAATTCGTGGCTTTTTTTCCCATGATTCTTTAGTCTTTCAAAGTTAATTTTTTAATTTTCTTTATTTTTTCTTTTTCTATTTTTTTAAATTTTTCTTCTTTCCTTTTTCAACCAACATATTTTATCAATTGCTTTTTTAAAATCTTTTTTAATTTTCACTTTACAAATTCTATCCCTTCATTGTATTTAACCTTATTTTTTGTATATATATGTTTTTCTTTCTTTAAAATTTTGAGATACAGTTTCTTCTAACAGACCAAAATATACCCTAAATCTAGTGTATGGCTTTGTTCTAGTCTCCCACCTGATCACATTCTCTTTTTTTTTCTTTTTTTAAATTTTTCTTCTTTCTTTTTTCAACAAACTTATCAATTCTTTTAAAATATTTTTAAATTTTTATCTTTATATTCATATTCCATCCCTTTATCATATTTACCCATATATATATAAGTTTTTCATTCTTTAAAATTTTGGGAGGCAGTTTCTTCTAATAGACCAAGATACACCCAAAATCTAGTGTGTGGCTCTGTTCTATTCACCAGCTTGATCAAAAAAAAAATTTTTTTTTCCTTCTTTTCCCCCCGGTTTCAGATCTCTTCTGATTTGCTTAGTATATATTTTTCTGGGGTCGCTGTTACCCTTTTAGCATTTTGTTCTCTCATTCATCTATTCTCCTCTGGACAAAATGACAAAATGGAAAAACTTAACTCAAAAATAAAAAAAGACAAGAGACAATACTGACTGCCAGGGACCTAATCAATACAGACATTAGTTAAGATGTCGGAACCAGAGTTCAGAATGATGATTATAAAGATACTAGCTGGGCTTGAAAAAAACATAGAAGATACTAGAGAATCCCTTTCTGGAGAAATAAAAGAACTAAAATCTAACCAAGTCAAAATCAAAAAGGCTATTAATGAGGTGCAATCAAAAATGGAGGCTCTAACTGCTAGGATAAATGAGGCAGAGGAGAGAATTAGTGAGAGAGAAGACCAAATGATGGAGAATAAAGAAGCTGAGAAAATGAGAGATAAACAACTACTGGATCATGAGAGCAGAATTCGAGAGATAAGGGATACCATAAGATGAAACAATATTAGAATAATTGGGATCCCAAAAGAAGAAAGAGAGAGAGGGGCAGAAGGTATACTGGAGCAAATTACAACGGAGAACTTCCCTAATTTGAGGAAGGAAACAGGCATCAAAATCCAGGAGGCACAGAGAACCCCCCTCAAAATCAATAAAAATAGGTCAACACCCCGACATCTAATAGTAAAACTTAAAAGTCTCAGAGACAAAGAGATAATCCTAAAAGCAGCTAAGGACAAGAGGTCTATAACCTACAATGGTAGAAACATTAGAATGGCAGCAAACCTATGCACGGAGACCTGGCAGGCCAGAAAGGACTGGCATGATATATTCAGCGCACTAAATGAGAACAATATGCAGCCAAAAATACTATACCCAGCTAGTCTGTAACTGAAAATAGAAGAAGAGATAAAAAGCTTCCAGGACAAACAAAAACTAAAAGAATTTGCAAACACCAAACCAGTCCTACAAGAAATATTGAAAGGGGTCCTCTAAGTAAAGAGAGAGCCTAAAAGTAACATAGACCAGAAAGGAACAGAGACAATATACAATAATAGTCACCTTACAGGCAATACAATGGCACTGAATTCATATCTTTCAATAGTTAACCTGAATGTAAATGGGCTAAATGCCCCAGTCAAAAGACACAGGGTACCAGCTTGGATAAAAAAACAAGACCCATCGATATACTATCTGCAAGAGACTCATTTTAGACCCAAAGACACCTCCAAATTTAAAGTGAGGGGGTGGAAAAACATTTACCATGCTAACAGACATCAAAAGAAAGCTGGGGTGGCAATCCTTATATGAGACAAATTAGATTTTAAACAAAAGACTATAATAAGAGATGAGGAAGGACACTATATCATACTTAAAGGGTCTATACAACAAGATCTAACAATTTTATTTTATTTTTTAAAGATTTTATTTATTTGACAGAGAGAGAAATAGCGAGAGCAGGAACACAAGCAGGGGGCATTGGAGAGGGAGAAGCAGGCTTCCCACTGATCAGGGAGCCCAATGCGGGACTCGATCCCAGGACCCTGGGATCATGACCTGAGCTGAAGGCAGACGCTTAACAACTGAGCCACCAAGGTGCCCGAAGATCTAACAGTTTTAAATATATATGCCCCTAACATGAGAGCAGCAAATTATATAAGCCAATTAATAACAAAATCAAACAAACATCGACAATACAATTATACTAGGGACTTTAACACCCCCTTCACTGAAATGGACAGATCATCTAAGCAAAAGATCAACAAGGAAATAAAGGCTTTAAATGACACACTGGACCAGCAACCACACAGATATACTCAGAACAATCCATCCCAAAGCAACAGAATACACATTCTTCTCTAGTGCATATGGAACATGCTCCAGAATAGATCATATCCTGGGTCACAAATCAGGTCAACCAGTACCAAAAGACTGGGATCGTTCTCTGCATGTTTTCAGATTACAATGCTTTGAAACTAGAACTCAATCACAAGAGGAAAGTTGGAAAGAAATACATAGAGGCTAAAGAGCATCCTACTAAAGAATGAATGGGTCAAGAAGGAAATTAAAGAGTTTTTAAAAATTCATGGAAACAAATGAAAATGAAAATACAACTAACTGTTCAAAATCTTTGGGATGCAGCAAAGGCAGTCCTATGAAGAAAGTATATAGCAATACAAGCCTTTCTCAAGAAACAAGAAAGGTCTCAAATACACAACCTAACCCTACACCTAAAGGAGCTGGAGGAAGAACAGCAAATAAAGTCTAAACCCAGCAGGAGAAGAGAAATCATAAAGATCAGGGCAGAAATCAATGAAATAGAAACCAAAAGAAGAGCAGAACAGATCAATGAAACTAGGAGCTGGTTCTTTGAAAGAATTAAGATTGATAAACCCCTGGCCAGACTTATCAAAAAGAAAAGAGAAAGGACCCAAATGAACAGAATCATTAAGAAACAGGAGAGATGACAACCAACACCAAAGAAATACAAACAATAATAAGAACTATTATAAGCAACTATATGCCAGCAAATTAGACAATGTGAAAGACATGGATGCATTCCTAGAGACATATAAACTACCAAAACTGAAGAAGGAAGAAATAGAAAACCTGAACAGACCCATAACCAGTAAGGAAATTGAAGCAGTAATCAAAAATCTCCCAACAAACAAGAGCCTAGGACCAGATGGCTTCCCAGGGGAATTCTACCAAACATTTAAAGAACAATTAATACCTATTCTTCTGAAACTGTTCCAAAAAATAGAAATGGAAAGAAAACTTCCAAACTCATTTTATGAGGCCAGCATTACCTTGATTCCAAAAACCAGACAAAGACCCCATCAAAAAGGAGAATTACAGACCAATATCCCTGATGAACATGGATGCAAAAATTCTCACCAAAATACTAACCAATAGGATCCAACAGTACATTAAAATGATTATTCATCACGACTAAGTGGGATTTATTCCTGGGCTGCAAGGTTGGTTCAATATCTACAAATCAATCAATGTGATACAATACATTAATAAAAGAACAAGAACCATATGATCCTCTCAATAGATGCAGAAAAAGCATTTGACAAAGTACAGCATTCTTTCTTGATTAGAACTCTTCACAGTGTAGGGATAAAGGGTACATACCTAAATATCAAAAAAGCTATCTATGAAAACCCCACAGCGAATATCATTTTCAATGGGGAAAAACTGAGAGCTTTTCCCCTAAGGTCAGGAACATCCATGGCAGGAATGTCCACTATCACCACTGCTATTCAACATAGTATTAGAAGTCCTAGCCAGAGCAATCAGACAACAAAAAGAAATAAAAGGCATCTGCACCTACAAAGAAGAAGTCAAACTCTCACTCTTTGCAGATGGTATGATACTTTCTGTGGAAAACCCAAAAGACTCCACCCCAAAACTGCTAGAACTCATACAGGAATTCAGTAAAGTGGCAGGATATAAAATCAATGCACAGAAATCAGTGGCATTCCTATACACCAACAACAAGACAGAAGAAAGAGAAATTAAGGAGTCGATCCCATTTACAATTGCACCCAAAACCATAAGATACCTAGGAATAAATCTAACCAAAGAGGCAAAATATCTGTACTCAGAAACTATAGAATACTCATGAAAGAAATTGAAGAAGACACAAAGAAATGGAAAAACGTTCCATGCTCATGGACTGGAAGAACAAATAGTGTGAAAATGTCTATGCTACTTAGGGCAATCTACACATTTAATGCAATTCCTATCAAAATACCATCCACTTTTTTCAAAGAAATGGAACAAATAATCCTAAAATGTGTATGGAACCAGAAAAGACCCCAAATAGCCAGAGAAATGTTGAAAAAGGAAAGCAAAGCTGGTGGCCTCACAATCCCGGACTTCAAGCTGTTACAAAGCTGTCATCATCAAGACAGTATGGTACTGGCACAAAAACAGACACATAGATCAATGGAACAGAATAGAGAGCCCAGAAATGGACCCTCAACTCTATGGTCAACTAATCTTCGACAAAGCAGGAAAGAATGTCCAATGGAAAAAAGACAGTGTCTTCAACAAATGGTGTTGGGAAAACTGGACAGCCACATACAGAAGAATGAAACGGGACCATTTCCTTACACCACACACAAAAATAGACTCCAAATGGATGAAAGACCTAAATGTGAGAAAGGAATCCATCAAAATCCTTGAGGAGAACACAGGCAGCAACCTCTTTGACCTCAGCCGCAGCAACTTCTTCCTAGACACATCACCAAAGGCAAGGGAAGCAAGGGCAAAAATGAACTATTGGGACTTCATCAAGATAAAAAGCTTTTGCACAGCAAAAGAAACAGTCCACAAAACCAAAAGACAACTGACAGAATGGGAGAAGATATTTGAAAATGACATATCAGATAAAGGGCTAGTATCCAAAATCTATAAAGAACTTATCAAACTCAACACCCAAAGAACAAATAATCCAAGAAATGGGCAGAAGACATGAACAGACATTTTTCCAAAGAAGACATCCAAATGGCCAACAGACACATGAAAAAGTGCTCCACATCGCTCGGCATCAGGGAAATCCAAATCAAAACCTCAATGAGATACCACCTCACACCCGTCAGAATGGCTAAAATTAATAAGTCAGGAAATGACAGATGTTGGCGAGGATTATGTAGAAAGGGGAACCCTCCTACACTGCTGGTGGGAATGCAAACTGGGGCAGCCACTCTGGAAAACAGTATGGAAGTTCCTCAAAAAGTTCAAAATAGAGCTACCCTATGACCCAGCAATTGAACTACTGGGTATTTACCCCAAAGATATAAAGGTAGTGATCCGAAGGGGCACATGCACCCAATGTTTATAGCAGCAATGTCCACAATAGCCAAACTATGGAAAGAGCCTAGATGTCCATCAACAGATGAATGGATAAAAAAGATGTGGTATATATATATGTATATATATATATATATATATATACATATATATATGTATATGTATATATATATATATATATATATATATACACAATGGAATATTATGCAGCCATCAAAAAAATGAAATCTTGCCAATTGCAACAATGTGGATGGAACTAGAAGGTATTATGCTGAGCGAAATAAGTCAATCAGAGAAAGACAATAATCATATGACCTCACTGATACGTGGAATTTGAGAAATAAGACAGAGAATCATAGGGCAACGGAGGGAAAAATGAAACAGGACAAAACCAGAGAGGGAGACAAACCATGAAAGACTCTTAATCTCAGGAAACAAAGGGTTGCTGGAGTGGTGGGGGATGGGAGGGATGGGGTGGCTGGGTGATGGACACTGGGGAGGGTATGTGCTATGGTGAGCTCTGTGAATTGTATAAGACTGATGAATCACAGACCTGTACTCCTGAAACAAATAATGCATTATATGTTAATAAAAAAAAAAAAGTAGCAATACTGATATAAACTTGATTTTAAAACCAGTTGTTTCTGATTCCAAAACATGTGTTCTTTTCCACAAATCTAAAGAAACAGTTTTTAAAAATTTCATCAGGCTACAAGCCACTCCAAAACCAAAATGTTGTCATTGTAAATTTTTTTTTTAATTAATTTTAAAAAGTAAGAGCTCCCTTTCACCTTTGTCATCCTAAAGGAATTCAAGGCAATTCTTCTTATAACCACTAGAGGACACTCATCACAAGCCTTTCAAACTATAAATGACTCCTATCCTTTGGGGTTCTCATCCCATTCTGGTCTATGATCGCCTTCATTCTTACTCTCCAGTTAATCTTTAACACAGGGTTTATATTATATAGGTTCCCCTAACATAGGTTTTATATGACCATAAACACTGAAATACTGGAAGATGAAGAACATTTTCATCTTATTAACAAAGTAGTCATTCAAAATATTATAACCAAGTAAATATGTGAATAACTACAATAGATGACCCATAAAGGTCATTTCAAAGATAAAGGGCAATTAAGTTATTCTGGCAAAAACATCATAGAAAATTGTAGTTTGTCAACGTTTTAAATCATGTACTATTTAAGAGTATTTTGAAGTCCTATGAGCCAAGGATCAAATCCTAGCTCTCCATGTACTAGCTGTGTAACCATGGACAATTTAATCTGTGACACAAGTAATAATATCTCCCTCACAAGACACTGATAAAGATTAAATGAGATAAAATACTAAAGGCATGTAATATACTTATCATATAGTAAATGCATAATCAATGGTAATGTTATATTCTCATAGTCGGTATAGAAACATGAACATTAGTTCATACATTTTTTATACATGCAGGTAGCTTGGCAATCATCCTATCCAAAGTAAAGTCTTAGGACCAAGTTGACTTAAAACAGAATGACTAATGACTAGGATATTTGAAGCATCAAAAGTATTTTGGCTAAGTTACATGAAGCTTCTTGATCTGTGTTTCCAAAAGGCCGAATGTAGATTTTTTCTCTTCCAATGTCTTTTTAAGTTCAACAATTTTTGTTTCCAGGGCTTGTTTTTCTTCTGAATTAATTTCTCCTTTTAACCGTGACATTCGGCGTTCCACTTGTTGAATGTAAAAATCCTGTTACATTTTTAAAAACAGATAGTAAGGAGAAACAAACAGTTAAGACCATTTCCATAAATGGTTTTACACAATAAACACAATAAAACACAATAAACACTTTCTTAAAGTTTAGTCTTAAGTGTTATTTACTAAAATCACTTTAATTCTTCAGTAATTTATAGTACAAAATCCTTTTTAACTCTAAGTGGAGAAACAGCAAACTATTCTTCAACAATCAAGGTACATGATAGTGACATAAAGGTAAGTAATCTTCTGAAAATATAAGAAGTCAGCTAAGAGGGTATATACTACTAGGATGGAACCTCAGTAAATCCACTGGATTTACATGGACATGGATTTTTGAGGGCACATTTTCTAAGGGATACAAAAAAGTCACAAATTGTTAGCCATGAATGGCTCAAATATGATGAACTTCCAATGAATTATTTTTAAAATAATACTTTAACATCTGTAATTTTGAGAAACTATGACATTAGACAAGGAAATTAAGATGTAGAGAGGGATGATATTAAAGAATTAACATGAGACAGAATATATAAATGGAACAAATAAGGAAAAATGTCTGAAGTGCTTTTAAACTATTAGTCAGGGGTTGGGGTAAGGAAGCCCATGTTTGCATGACTAAGACTCAACATACAGTTTTTCCAGGTTTCAGATAGCCCACTCCTTGGTTTGTTTTACTCCAGGCCCAATTGCCCCAGGTTCCTTTAAAGCATGATTGTCCCTCACTGGAGTTGTCTATCCTCTGACCTGTTTATTTCAGATCAAGAAAAAAAATAGGTTTTAAGGCTCCCTTACCCTACTGCTTACCAAACATGATATCCTATTTCAGCATCTGTCTATCCCTCCAAGAGTGCTTTAAAAATCTTTGTTTTTTCAGGACATTGTGGTATCTTAACCGTCACAACTATAACAAATCAATATGGAAGACATTCATAAGATTAACATCTACCTGACTGTACATAATTTCTTGCTGCTTCAAGGTTTCAAAATCCAGTTTATGTAACTGATGGTTGAGGTGCTTTAGGGAGGAACGAGTTCCTTCAATTTCTGATACAACAGCTTTTTCTTTCATTGTCTCAGTCTGTAATTCCTGAACTTTCTTAAACAGCACATCTTTCACTATGTTCAATTGAACTTCCACTTCCTGATGATAAGAATAATAGTGATCAATGAAATTATAATACCTTGAAATGTTTTATTATATGAACATTATAATCTGGGGGGTCATAAATTAACCCCCCAACATTTCAGCCCTTGAGAATATAAGAATGCCCTTCCCACAACTTCAACAAATCTCCAACATTTCTTATAATCTACTCTATTCCAGTAACTTGATCTGTCATCTTAATTCTACACCATGTCATTCTACACCTTAGAACCTGGCCATTCCACTGGCTTCCTTAGATATAGCAGACACGCACAACTTTTAAGTTCACAGAATTTGCTGAAGTCTTGAGGGTGTTACAGGAAAGAAATCACATAGCTCAATCTCCCACCTTCTTCTGGGCACTATCCAGTGGTGAGCAGGTAAATGTTTAAACATCAGCTTTCCAATAGATGGCAGGTTAGGGGGAAGAAGCTGATTTTCTTTTTATAAATATTCCCATTATGGCCAATTTCAAGCTACTAACATGATTCTGCTAAATGCAGAGTTGGAAAGAGATACACAGTAGCAGATCATTACATAGTATTTCCACTATACAGATATAATAAATGTAAGTAATTTTAAGTAACCTTAAAAGCATAAATAGATAATAGTAAAATTTAGTAAAATAATTTAGAAGTGATGAGTGCTTATTACTTTGTTTTTAATATTATGTATTTAATTATAAGTCTATATAATTTAATTTTTAATAGTAGCCATGTTTAGCAGCTGACTTGCAAAATTCCAGAAAATTTAACTATCAACTCTTAAGAGCTGGTAAGGGCTGGCCCCAACACACCACTGGCACCTTCATTCATACCTTGTCTCTAGTTGGCCTCCCTACATGTGCAGCCTTCTAGGAAACAGAAACCAGTCCCCCATTCCCACCGCTCATTTCTCAAGAGGCAGATCTGTCTTGACCTTAAGGCTCCACGACAAGTGTTCTAGGCTTCAAATAGATCTCCCATGCCAAGCAAGATCTGTTGAAAGTTATCATTTTAATTGTTGAAATAACTTCCCTCTGTGCTCTTATGCCCAGATAAGTATATTTCCTTTTGGCAACCAATGAACCTCAATATGAAAACAAAATCTGTGACTGGCACATTTAAATTTTGACAAATTAAGAAATATAATCTAATATAATCTTTAAAATGCCTTTTTTATATAATAGACAATTTTCATTAGTTTTAAGACCTTCTCAAAGACTGCTTGGCAGTTTTAAAGTCAGTGCTTGGTGGTGAATAACATAATACATCTCCAAAACATACAGGATTAGGATTTTTCCAAACAAAGAAAAACAGCTACAAAAACCAAGATTATGAATAAACCGCTGAGACAGCACAAGTAGCACACATGCTGCCAATCCCATTTTTTCTAATTAAGCTAATTTCTTAAAAAATGTCACCAGTTTTTAATGTCATCATCAAAAGGTCTATTTCATATGGATTTCAGTCTTTGCAGATTTCTAATAAGTTCTAATATTGTCCTATCTCAGCGCTACAGAAAATCAAGCTCTTGGGAGGAAAAAAAACCTTTTTTTTTTTTAAATAATGTGATTTAGATTCCTATGCCACTCAAGTCAAGCCTGCTGCATGACTTCATTATTCAGAGATTTTGAACATCCAACAGCACACCAAAGAAGCTTGATTTTATCCAAATATAAGTGAAACCATACTTGATATTTAGCAAATGAGGGATTTTGCCGTGATCTTCAGCTGCCCCTCAGAAAGAGTAGAAGCAAGAAGTAGTGCCAATGGTGTCAGGTCACAGAAGTCACTTGGAAGTTTTCAAAGAGGAAATGGTGAACCAGCCTTTCCCAGTTTCTCAAAAATTGGCCTAAATGCTACCAAGACGCCAAAGACATCCCAGTAGAGTTAGTAAAGTAGGAACACTTAAGAGTCCATTTACTTATAAATGGTGCCAGACTGTCAGAGATAATAAATGATAAAGAAATACAGGGAAGGAATGTAGACCATTGGGGGGAATTTGATCACAAACAAAAAAAAACAAATGATAACCAACTGTAAGGGTAGAAATAAATTTTAAAACATGGGCATTTTTCAAGGTATGTCTGCAGTATAAGAGCATATATATGAATGACAAGCAAAGACACACCAGGCATTGGAAAGGCACAAGATCACAGGTGGAGGGCTACCTTTGAAAGAAGACAGCCAAGGCAAATGCTGAAAGTAAAGCAAAAGGAGAAGTAGAAGCTTTAAGAGAGAAGGCCAGAAACATCTTCAGAAGCCACATACAAAAAGGGGGTCCAACAACTCAAAATTCTGATTACAAATGTGGTCACACCAGAAAGCAGAGCCTCTTAAAAGACCTCCTACTCCCTAATTGCAAGAGTCTAATTCACTATTGCTAGATTCTGTGACTGTTTAAGAACTAAAACTAAACTTTACCTTTACACTTTTTTCCTCTTCCCTTAGCGTATCTTCCAAATTGGTAGCTCTCTCTTCCACAGACATTGTTTTCTCAGTTATCTGCTTTAATTTTTTTCTTACAATCTGATTATGATTTTTAATTTTCTGTAACCTAGAGAGAATTTATGAGGAAAAAATAGAAAACATGTCTAAAAAGTAATACAAACATGGAATAGCTTATCCTAAGATTTCTTCATATAACTTGAAGGTTTCTTTAGGTTTCTTTAGGCCATAAACCTAAACCTTTTTATTACCTTTCTGGAAACCTTATATATTTAATAAGTCATAAAAATATTGTTCCTAAACCTTTACAAAGAAAAATCCAGGAAAAACTTTTTTTTAAGTTTAATAATTTAGTAGCCATCAGTTTACAATTATTTAACAAAAGCTTAAATATTTAATAATTTTTCTAGTGGTCAAAAACTAGGGAGCTTGAGTGGCTCAGTCAGTTAAGCATTCAACTCTTGATTTCAGCTCAGGGTGTGATCTGAGGGTCATGAGATCAAACCCTGCATCTTGTCCCTCTCCCTCTGCTCTTCCCTCTACTTGTTCTCTCTCTCTCTCTCTCTCTCTCTCTCAAATAAATAAATAAATAAAATCTTTAAAAAAACATAAGTAGTCAAAAACTATAAACATATTTAAGTATCTTTTTTCTTACCTTGCTGTTTCTTCATGAATGTCCTTCTTTATTTTGGAAATATTTTTCCTTATAGCTTCTAAATCACTGGAACTTCTATTCACAGTGGCTTTTAAAGAATCCAGCTATTCATTAGTTAACAGACAAAAATTACATAGTTACTCTACATCTTATAAATTAATTTTATTTTTGAGAAGTTCTATTCTGAACATGTTAGTTTTTAACCTACATCACACCTATAAATACAGTGCCCATGTTGCTGTAATCCATATAACCAGTTTTTCTTTTTGCTCTGATATTACATTTTAAATGACTTATTTCATGATACTGGCAAATTATACAGTCCTACATAGATTCATGAACGGTACTTAGAGCAAAAGCTTCACAGTATTGGATTTGGCAATAATTTCTTGGATATGACAGGCAACAAAAGAAAAAAAGACAAATTGGACTTCATCAAAATTTAAAACTTCTGTGCATCAAAAGACAATATCAACACAGTTAAAAGCACTCCATAAAATGGAGAAAATACTTGCAAATCATATACCTGATAAGGGATTAATATCTAGAATATATAGATAATTTCTAAAACTCACCACCATCAACAAAAAAAAAAAACCCCAAACTGATCCAAAAATGAGCAAAGGACTTGAATAGACATTTCTCCAAAGAAGATATACTAATAAAAAATGCTCAACAGCATCAATCATTATGGAAATGCAAATCAAAACTACAATAAAATACCACCTCACACCCTTCCATAAGGATGGCTACTACCAAAAAAAGAAAAAAGAAAAAGAGAAAAGAACAAGTGTTGGCGAGAATGTGGAGAAACTGGAACTTTTGTGCACCATTGGTGGGAATATAAAATGGTACAGCCACTACAGAAAACAGTATGGTGGTCCCTCAAAAAATTAAAAACATAATTACCATAAGTACCATCCAGCAATTCTGAGATAATTGTACACCCATGTTCATAGCAGCATTATTCACAATAGTTAAAACATAGCAGCAACCCAAATGTCCACGGACAGATAAACGGAGTAGCAAAACATGATATATACATGCAATGGAATGGTATTCAGCCTTAAAAAGTAACAAAAATTTGACACCTGCTACAACATAAATAAACCTTGAGGACATTATGCTAAGTGAAATAAATGAAATAACCCAGTCACAAAACAATAAATACTGATTTCATGCATATGAAGTACTTAGAGTAGTCTCACAGAGACAAAAAGTAGAATGGTACTTGCTAGGAGCTGGGAGGAGGGGTGGAATGGGGAGTTATTGTTTAATTAGTATGCGGTTTCAGTTTTACAAGAAGAAAAGAGTTATGGAGATGGATGGTGGTAATGGTTGCCTAACATTAGGAACGTATTTAATACCACTGAACTGTATGCTTGAAAATGATTAAGATGGTAAAGTGTACATTATGTGTACTTTATCTCAATTTTTAAAATATTTTATTTATTTATTTGAGAGAGAGAGAGAACATGAGCAGGGGGAGGGGCAGAGGAAGAAGCAGATTCCCCACTGAGCGAGGAGCCTGATTCAGGGCTCAATCCCAGGACCCTGGGATCACAATCTGAACTGAAGGCAGACGTTTAACCAACTGAGCTATCCAGGTGCCCCTATTTTACCTCAATTTTAAAATTTGGAGGAAAGAAATGAATGAATGAAGTACTGATGCATACCACAACATGGATGAACCTTGAAAACATTATGTAAGTAAAAGAATCCAGACATGAAGTGCTCCATAGTATATTATTTCATTTATATGAAATATCCAAAATAGGCAAATCCACAGAGACAGAAAGTAGATTAGCAGTTGCCAGGGCTGAGTAGGAGGAAGGAAGCAAAGTGATTGCTAATGGGCAAGGAGTTTCTTTTTGAAAGACAAAGATAGTCTAAAAAATTAGATAGTGGTGATGGTTGCACATTCTATGAAATACTAAAAACCACTGAATTGTATACTTTAAAAGGGCAAATTATTATATGTGAATTATATCTCAATAAACAAATTATGAATGAATCAATGAATCCCTGCATTCTTTAATGCAATTGGTTTAAACTTAAAAATTTTTAAGAATGAACTATTATCAGTGACATTTAATTTAGGCAAGAAATTTGCTTATTTTATTTTTTTAGGACCATAAGTAATTACTCTTTTTGGACAGAAAAAAAATCTTTCCTTCTTTATCAGAAATAAAAAGTATAACAACCTGTAGAATGAAATGCTCTACAATATTCCAATTTCCTGCCTAAACAGTAGTAACTTCAAACAATGTGGCCTCAAGGCACAAATTTCAAAAAGATCCCTTTATTGCTAACTAAAGGGATCACTAACACTCCCTATGGAACAATCTAGTTGGCCATGTGTGCCTGCAAAAGAAGAAAAGAACAAAGCAGAAGTTTCGTTCTCTGTTTCAAGTATTTTACCACTACACTGTCTCACTACTAGACTGAAATATTATCCCTTCACAAGGGGAGAAACTGAACTTAAGCAAATAACTCCACCTAGAATTTGAGTCAAAATCACCATACACATGTAGCACTGGAAAGACACTTCAGGTTATCACTAATGTCGATTTCATCTTCACATCTGCCCATGGGCCAGTTATAATCATGATTTTAGTCTAGACCTTCGGGAACCTTTTGCCTCAAGTCACTTACAAAACTCTGTATGTGTTGGGCAAGTTGTGTGCTGTACGACTCCAGGAGGAGACCTTCACACCACCTGTGGTATGCCTGGCACCTCCCCCCAATCCCACCCCCCCATTGCTTTCACTGCAACTGCAGTACCCTAAAAGTTCCACAACATGAAGGGACATAAGAAAAAGAACTAGAAGGCAATTCCTTAATCAAAAGAAAGCTTTTATGCTTATTTTTTAGTAATTTGTCATAAACACACAAGCCAGTCTTTTTAGTTGACATACCTCATCTTTCAGCTGATTTCTGTTAGTTTCATGACGCTGATACTCCGTTCTACATTTTAAAAGTTTACGAGTAGCAACAGAAATTTTTTTCTCATACTCTGTGTTATTCCCAATCTCACTTTCCAAAAACTTGATCTTTTCTTTAACCAAATTTTCTTTTTCTCTTATTTCCTGCTTTATCCTTGCTAATGCCTAAGGTTTAAAAATATGTTAAATATATGTTTAATGCAAAGAACAAAACAAAAAGGAATTTAGTTTTCATTTTTCTACATGCAGTATTTTATCAAAACTTCTTAAGACAATATTTTCTTTAAAAAAGTCTATTTTGGGGACACCTGGGTGGCTCAGTCAATTAAGCATCCAACTCTTGATCTCAGCTCTTAATCTCAAGGTCGTGAGTTCGAGCCCTGCACTGTGCTCTACACAGGGCGTGGAGCCTACTTCAAAAAAAAAAGAGAGAGAAAGTCTATTTTTATATGAATAAAAACAAAGTATTAATATGTTACACATCAGTATCTATAAGCTCATTTTTTTTGAAGATCTTGTTTTCTTTCATCTGGTACTTTGCTAAAGAGATGAAAAAAATGTCAAGCTTTTATAAACAAAAGGTGATATCTAAAAAATATAACACTGTTGAATATTTTTACGTAGAAAGTTGGATTTCAATTATTTTTTTCCAAATATTTCACAGGACCAGTTTTTTTTTCACCTTTTGAGAATAATATTTTAGTTATTGGTTTCAATAAGAATGTCTTCACTAAGGCCTTTTGCTGGTCTTGGAGAATAAAAATAAATAGCATATGCAAGGTAGTAAATGAGATGTGGACAAAGCACCATGGGAAAAAGAGATGATGAAGTCTACCCAAGAGGAATTACTAAAAGGCATTACTTAAGAGGCTTCTTTTACGTTAGGCCTAAAAGATAAATGGAGATGCATAAACACTCTAATGTGGTTAAATCGTAGGGAGGGCAGGGATGGAATGGGGATATATTAAGAAGGGGTGGGTACAAATGAAAGGAATGAGGCTGGAAAGGTAGAGGTTAGGGCCCAATTGTGAAAAAAATCAATTTTTTAACTGCCATGTTAAAGAGGTTCAATTTTTAAGCAATGTGGAACAAAGAAGATTTTAGAGCTGAAGAATAAAAAGCTCATATGTGGTTTTTATAAGTGATGTTGATAGCAACATGTTAGAAGAATTGGAGGAAAAAGATAATTTTACCCTAAGATGTAATTCCAAAATGGGGTCCCACCAAACAATCCCAGAAAATTGGGTTGGGGGAGGGTGTATGTTCTGAAATGAGTAAGTTTTAGAAATGCTGTATGTAATACTGTACATATTAACATACTAAATGGATATATATTTGAAATGTACTACATTTGTTTAAAGATTTTATTTATTTGAGAGAGAGAGAACATGAGCAGGGGAGTGGGGTAGAGCAGACAGAGAGGGAGAAGGAGAAGTGGGGAGTGGGGTAGGGCAGTGGGGGAGTGGGGTAGGGCAGAGGGCAGAGGGAAAGAGAGAAGCAGGCTCCCCACTGAGCAGGGAGCCCGATTCTCAGGGCTCGATCCCAGGACCCTGAGATCATGACCTGAACTGAAGGCAGACGCTTAACCGACTGAGCCACCCAGGCGCCCCTAAAATGCATTACATTTAAAAAAGCATTGTAAATTTATTTAATCCCATATGTTGTCTATAACAATTAACACTCTATAATGTAGCAATCTATATATATACTGTGTTCATTCAACCAAAGACAGGTCAAAACATCCTAAGTTTATGTATGTCAAATGATCATTCTAGAACTTCCTGCCTTATATTGATTTTCTACAACTTAAACAGATACTTTAATACCTACTTCAACATTCTCATCTACTCACAGTTAAGCTTTTTGTAGGTGATGCTGATAAGTACAGTAATATCCCAAAATTTCTACACTGGAATAAAAGCATAATAGAAAAATATTTTTCCTTTTCTATATAATGTAAAAGTTTCTCTCAAGAAGCCAATTTCAGGTTCATATGCTCAGACTCCTGCCAAGAAGACACTAAGAAGGCAGGAAATGTTTTGGAGGAAAAGGAACAAAAGATCAAATCCTCTGGTGGTATGAACTGGATCTCACTGGCTTACCAGCACTGACTGACACATCTCTTCTCAACTCTGTGTTGAATGGAGTCACATTGGTATGGAAGTAGTTTCCCCACAGAAATCAGAAATGCTACAAATGGGGAGCCAGTTGTTAAACACTCAGAAGCATACCACTACATATGGAGCCACTTCTTAGCACCCATCCTATTCCCTTACAACAAAGACAACCAGGAGATGTCCATAAGGAACCATAGTGAATATGACCAGAGAGCTACAAATTGTATATTCTGCCAAATCAGCAGGCTGAGTCAATTCAGCTGTGGGGTTGTATGAGAATGCAATTGTGGATCTGCAATCTTGGATCTGTCACATTTGATCTACACAGAGGAAGAGTCAGGACTTGATGTCTGAAACCAAGATCAGCATTAAGAATTAAAAGGAACTCATAGTTAAGACTGGTTCTCCCTTGTCCCTCCAAGGAAGTCATAGGCCATTTTGTTGATAAAATGTTGGTTACTTATAGAAATTTAAAATAAAAGAATAATTTACATATAAGTCACATATAGCAAGTAAATCTCATACAGATATGAGAATACCAAACCCCCAATGACCTAAGCTGCTTGCCTTTCCATGGAATAGACGCAGAAAGGAAGTTAACATATCCTCAATTCCTTCTCCTTCCCAACTCTCCCTAATCTTCCCATTTTTACTCACCACCATTTTGCCCTTTAATGACTTTCCAAAAAACGTCTCCTAAATTACCTCTGAAAGTAGCAAAAATAACACTAGGTCCGTGTTTAATCAGTGTGGTACTCCTTCCCTTCCAAGCTTCTACCCTATTATGGGTGCCTCAGTTTCAAAAGTGAAACTTTATCAGTCTAGGTTTCTTTCCTGACTCTCCCTTTTTGTTTCTTGGCCAACCATGAGACTCATTTCCCTACACCAGTGATTACTCCAAACAGCACATATATTAAGTCCAAAGCACCTTGGGCAACCATGTGTAAGTCAGAGCATTGGTTTTACTGCACTAACATTATCTATTGACTTTCTCTTGTTCCACATTTCAGAGTGGCAGGATCTAGTCTTCAGCATTATAATACCCTAAGTAAATAACCTTCATAAAATCACATATCTAAATGTAAAGAGTGAGCTTTGAAAAACATTTACCAAAACTATTGAACCCTACTATAAATGATTTTCAAATAACAATGTGAGTTACATTTGAAATGAATGAGTTAAATACAAAAGAGAATAACAGTTGAACATTGCAAGGACCAAACAACTACTTTACCAAGGCACCGTTATCAATGTCTCGATCTCTCTTCTGCATCTGCTCTATTGTGTTCTCCCACTGTTTAATGAGTTCTTGTCTTTCATTATGAATCTTACGAAAATCTTGTGCTGCTTTATCCAATTCTAACTGTCAAATAGAGAGCAAATAACATTTTTGTGAATTTAAGTGCTATTGCATACATCCCTTCGACAATTAAGAAACAAAAATCTTCACTAAACTAACCTGTGCACTTAGAGTCTCCATAAGTTCGTTGTCAAGTACCTTTCTTCTCTGATTACCTTCCACAGTCAGTCTTTCTAATTGCAGGGTCAGTGCCTATGATGTAGTTTCATGTAAAAATATTCAAAATTATCATTTAACTTAAAAGCTATTAATATATCTCACATTAAGTACTATTATAGATACACACTTATTTGCTATCTAAAACAATTACAAAATAATACATAATCTTTTAACCCCAAAGGGCTGCAATGAAAACTCAATTGTTTCTAAAAAGACTTTTAATACTTTTTAAAGTTAGAAAAAAAGATAAACAATAATTTGCCTTTTAAAATTATTTAAAATAATGCATTTGGTATTAAATCTATTAGAAAATAGCATGTTCATAATACTAATGTATTAATACATTTATTACAAGTAGATTTTAAGTAATGGTTATAATAATATATTAAATAATAGCACTATAGTCTCAAATCAGCAAACACTGTATATTACATTCAAACTGTTATTTAGACAAAAGAAGTTAAATTACTAATTCTAATATAAAACTTTCTTCTCTGAAATGCTTTTGAAAACTTTTCTCAATCAGGATTTTTAACCTGGAGTCTGTGGATCCCTAAATGGTCAGAGGGTTTCAGCAAAATTTTATGAGTATTTGAGTATAGTCACTTTTCTAAAGAGAGGATCCTTGGCTTTATTAGACTGTCAAAGGAGTCTCTGACCCAAAGAAAGTTTAAGAACTACGGCTTTTAAATTACAAATGTAATTCAGAAAAAAGGTTCACATACTACAGATTCAGAGAAAACCTAAGATTATAATTTATAATTTCTCACCCTAATTTTACTATCATCTTGTTGTGCATACTTCTGAAGAGTGAGGGCATCACTATCTTTACGAGCTGATTCTTCTAACCAGGCTTCCAATGCTTGCTGGTCCCAGTTCATTTGACATTTCAAACCATCCAATTTTTGAGTAGTTTTAAATATGTTATTCTAATTTCCAAAGAAAGGGGGCAGGGAGAGATTACAGAATATTATTTACTACACAAACTAAAATAAAACATAAAATTACATACTACAGGACATATTAAAAAGGAAAGAAGAAAACCTGTCCCTTTCCCAACTTCCAGATATATATAATGCACCATATTTCATTATATAACAACCATACTTGTATTTAATTCTTCAGTTGTAAAATAGAGGGGAAACGATTATACAAGGTTGAGAATAACAGTTGAGTCAAAAATTGCTTAAAAAGGCTTTAGGGAAAGTCCCCCCCAGAGCAATCTCTAATGTCAGTCACTCCACCAAATCCATCCCATGTGGATATACAATCTTAGTAAAAATAATGTGCTTGATATGCTAACTCAAGCCCAAGTCAAGTCCCCATCAGCTCCATTTCCAATCAGATTCTTGCCTCTAAGAGGCTTCTTCTACAGAAATTTTGAAAGTAGTTTTAGTTGAAATAAATACAGTTGTTAAGAAGATAAAAATATTTCTGTAAGTGAATAAGTCAGTCAGAGAAAGACAAATACCATATGATTTCACTCATACGTGGAATTTAAGAAACAAAATGGATGAACATAGGGGAAGGGAAGGAAAAATAAAATAAGATGGAAATTGAAAGGGAGGCAAACCATAAGAGACACTGAACTCTAGGAAACAAACTGAGGGTTGCTGGAGGGGAGGTGGGTAGGGGGAAGGGATAATTGGGTGATGGGCATTAAGGAGGGCACTTGATATAATGAGCCCTGGATGTTATATGCAACTGATGAATCACTAAATTCTACCTCTGAAACTAATAAAAAAAAATTTCCTGTAAATGTATTCATTTAACAAATCTAGAGTCATAAAAGAAAACAGATCAATATGCATATAAATACAAATTAATATAATAAAATGTGTATGTATACATATGCATATACATGTGCGTTTCTATATGTATATGCACATGTAAAGAGAAGAATTGAATTTGGAATGAACTCCCAAATCAGGCAACTAAAAACAAAGGAAAAGAGAAAAAGAGGTTATAGTAGTTTAATATTAGAGTTACAGGCTAAATTAATATGAAAGGTAAACATTTTGAATGAAAAATGAAAACTCAATATTAAAAGTAAGTTTTTTAATGTGGCCTTTTAAAAATATATGAATAAATTATGCCTAGTATCATATGATACTTCTGAATAAATTATGACTAGTATCACATAATAGACAGCCAGTGTGGTACTCTGCACATGGTGGCTCAATGACTATTTGGTAAATGAATAGTGGGAAAATAAATATAACATTCTATCATTGCATTCAAATGACAACTCTACATGCCTTTCATTGTCCAAAAAACAATGTAAATAAATGTCAGGAAATTAATGAATGTCTTTCTCATACAGAAAAAAAATCACTGCTTGTTTGGTGAGGGAAGAAAGAACAATAGCACAAAATTTTAAGTAACATTTCAATACATACTTCCTTATCACTTTTCTTTTCCTGTATTGAAGCCATTTCATTTTCCAGTCGTTGGATTTCATCCTTCACTCGTCCCAGTTCTCTTTCAGCAATGATCCTAAAATGCTCTTCACTTTCAATCTCATGCTCCCTGGCTTTACAAAGAGACTACAGAATAATTTACGAGATAGAAAAACGTTTTAATTTTTAATATTATAAAAGATTTATAATAATCCATTAGCCCCCCAAAAAAGTTCCCACAAAATACTGAGATTAAGTACTATTAATTCTACTTCTCTGAAACCTAAACCATGTTAGACTTTATGATTCAGTGTACTTTGTGTTGTGTACTAGTTGTAAGAAAGTCAGTTCATGGAATGACCTAGGAGAAAATATTGTTGTCAGCAATTTTCAGATATTATGTTAGTCTAGGGAAATTGAAGAAAACCAAAGTTAATAATGGTGAGATTTTAAAAAGATATAACTCATTACTTACCTAAAAAATAAGAAATAAAATTTAAAAATACTTGGGAGATGGGATGTTTCTAGAACTGATTATACATTCTAATTAAGAGATAATTTATAAATGACAATGTAAACACTGATGGTTATAAATATTTCCCAGAATAGGGCGCCTGGGTGGCTCAGTTGGTTAAGCGACTGCCTTCGGCTCAGGTCATGATCCTGGAGTCCCGGGATCGAGTCCCACATCGGGCTCCCTGCTCAGCAGGGTGTCTGCTTCTCCCTCTGACCCTCTTCCCTCTCGTGCTCTCTATCTTTCATTCTCTCTCTCTCTCTCGAATAAATAAAAATAAAATCTTAAAATAAATAAATAAATAAATATTTCCCAGAATATATTAACAAACCATCATGCCTTTGTGTTAAGTTTTACTTAGTAAAATACTTAGTAAAGTATTTGTTGACTGCTGAGTTTGTAGTGCTTCAAAGTTATCACCATCAGTATTATTTTTAAAGTGTATAGGAAGTTTATTGTCTTTTGTGTCTATTATCTGATTTAATTAAGGTTTAACTATAATGAAATATACCTACAGAGAGTCTCTGACTTTCAAATCCCCAACTCAGTGATTTAGTGACTTTAAGAAAAGATGTTCCAAACAGTTTATTAGTTAATCATATCAGGATTCAAAAATTTCAAGTATTGCTGTTAAAAGTTCATTAAACTTGTAGCTTCCTAATAAGATTTATACACAATAAAATGGTTACTTATCTGTATTAATTATAAATTGGCATTAAAAGCATGCTTTGTTCACTTTTAAGAATTACATATCTTTCAAAGAAAGGTAGAGGCATTTTTAAAAAAATAGTTTGAAATGCAAGTTAGTAAACTCTCCAGGGCTGATTTGCTAAGCTGATTTGCTAGGCATCATCAGGGAATGATGTTCTACACATGAACAAACTGCCCATAAAATAGAAGCTTACTTAACTAATCACTCTAAGTTTTAAGTTTATTATTTATAGTTATATTCTAAAATGGATTATACTTTCCCTGGTTATCTTAAATAATACCCTAAATATAATTTAACTTTTCTATCATCTCAGGATCCTAAAATACCATAGTGCCCTAAGGGCTACTGAAGTGTGTGAACTATGTGTTTCCACTCAAAAAGGCCCAGTGGATTGCACTGAAAAAGTGAAAAGGAGGTGGAAATTCTATCATGTGTTACATTAGGTCTATTCTGGCTTAAAATCATTGTTTGATCACTAAACCCTTCTCATATAATCTGATGCCTAATATTACATTAGACTGTTTGAATGATTTCTTCTTTCAAATGCATTAGTTATTCCTGAAATCAGTGGCAGCAGTGAGTTCCTCAAAGCCTTTTTTTTCTACCTACTTTCAAGTTCAAGGTTATGTTCACAATAGTTTAGCTATGCTAAAGTTTCCCATTGTATCTCTAAAATAAAATCACAGATGTGAATGCAATGTGAAATGTTCCATGACTACACATGGCATAATCAACATTATGTTGGCATTACTGTACCTGTGTAAATGAAAATTCTTGCTTAACATTTTTGAAGTGAGAAGTCATAGCATTAATTCGATCTTCATAGTCACGTAGCTGATCTTGCAAGCTTGACCTTTCCTCCTGCATCTTTGACAACTGTAAAGAATATGTGCAGTAATTTAGAGATTACTGTAGGAAAATTAGCACTACATTAAGACAATAGAAACCTCTCAGATTTCTCAGAAATCTCTCAAGGACCACTGCTAAGATGCAATTTTCATACAGCAGTACTTTAAGGGAAAAAAAATGGTATTTTTATTCCATAATCAAACCACAAGATCTCTAGAGCAAACCAGAGCATAACAACAGATATAACAAAAACACAGAACATGAACCATAAATTTTGTAAGTAGTGGGATACCAGGCATAACAGCTCCTCCCCGAACTCCTATGCAAAACCAACAGATTTAGGGCAAGCTGTACAGAACAGAACAACTCTCCTGTGCTTAGACCCTTATTGTTAATGTATTTTGTGTGTCACTGAATTAGAACCCTGAGTAGAAACAAAACAATGCAAATGCATAACAAACAAACAAAAAAAACTTTAGGAAATTACAAGATAGATTCTCAGGACAATGAGAATATATCACCCCTCAAAGCAATACAAAAACTCAATAAAACAAAAAAATATCCTTTCTTATAGTCTTGATCTGTGGTTCCCAAAGTTGGGGCTACAACCCAGGAGGTATACAACAAAATCCACAATATTTGAATTTTTAAATAAGGAAGAAATTAAATAGTAATGTCCTATGTGTTATATCCTATATTTTATTAAACATACTAAGTAACATTAAATATGTATTTTTTGCTTTTTATTTCATTTCAGTTTTACTTTTTTTTTTAAGATTTTATTTATTTATCTGACAGAGAGAGAGACAGGGAGAGAGGGAACACAAGCAGGGGGAGTGCGAGAAGGAGAAGCAGACTTCCCGCTGAGCAGGGAGCAGGGTGTGGGGCTCCATCCCTGGAACCCGGGATCATGACTCGAGCCAAAGGGAGACACTTAACGACTGAGCCACCCAGGCACCCCCAGTTTTACTTTTAATTCCCTCTTTTGTTTACTTTGTTGTTCTTTTTTATTTAAGATTTTTTATTTATTTATTTGAGAGAGAAAGAGAAAGAGCATTGAGGGGGGGAGGGTCAGAGGGAGAAGCAGATTCCCCGCCCAGCAGGGAGCCCAATGTGGGACTCCATCCAGGGACTCCAGGATCATGACCTGAGCCGAAGGCAGTTGTTCAACCAACAGAGCCACCGAGGTGCCCCTGTTGTTCTTTTTTAAATTTGTTAAGAGCAGTTCTTAATTTCCTTACTTTTTGTCACATGGATTACAATGGACTGTTTGTGTCACCCTCAAATTCATATGTTGAGGCCCTTACCCACAATGTGATGGTATGTGGAGGTGGGCCTTTGGGAGGTAAATAGGTTTAAATTAGGACCTGAAGTTAGGACCCTCATGATGGAATTAGTCTCCTTATAAAAACAAGAGACCAGAGCTTTCTTTCTCTCTGCCATGTGAGAACAAAGTGAGAAGGCAGCCATGTGCAAGCCAGGAAGAGGGCTCTCACTAGAACCCAACCACACTTCCACCCTGATCTCAACTTCTAGCCTTTCAGAACCTTGAAAAATAAATGTCTGTTTTTTAAGTCACTCAGTCTATGGTATTTTGTTATAGCAACCCAAGCCAACTAAGGCATTGATTTAAAAATGAAGGCATTTAAGCCTGTAAGTTTTCTCTAGGTAAGATTTTTGCTATTTCCAATGAATACAGGTGTGAAGCACTCTCTTTTTATTGTTTTCTAAAAGCTGACTTTCCCTTTCAATTTCTCTATGATAGAAGCGCTATCCAGGAATATATATCTGAGAAATTGGCCTAAGTACTTAAGACGGATGTCTTAGTCAGCTCAGGCTGCCATAACAAAATATCATAGACTGTTTGGCTTAAAGATCAGAAATTTATTTCTCACAGTTCTGGGGGCTGGGAAGTCCAGGATTGAGGTGCTAGCCAATTTGGTTCTGGTGAAATCTCTCTTCCTGACTTACAGACAGTGTCTTCTAGCTGCATACTCAAATGGTGGAGAGAGAGAGTTCTGGTCTGTCTTCCGCTTCATATAAAGATACTAATCGCATCATGGGAGCCACATTCTCATGACCTCATCTAAACCTAATTACCTCCCAAAGGCCCCACTACCAAATACCATCACATTGGAGATTAGGGCTTCAATATATGAATGGGGTGAGGAAGATATCAGTCCATAACAATGGAGGATAATTTTTAAAATTATTTATTATAAATGCTATTGATTATGATTAAAGAATGTGGCCTATAAAATTCCTACCACTCATTTCTTTAATTGTGGTAAAATATTCATAACCTACTTTTTATCATTTTAACCGTTTTTCAGTATGCATTAAGTACATGTGTTGTGCAACCACTGTCACCATCCACCTGAAAATTTTCATCTTCCCAAACTGAAACTCTGCCCATTAAACCCTAACTCTCCATTCCCCTTCCCCCCAGCCCCTGGAAATTGCCATTCTACTTATATCTTTATGAACTTGACTACTCTAGGTATGTCATATAAGTGGAACCATACAGTGTTTTATGTCCACCTTATTTCACTTCATATAATGTCTTTAAGGTTTATCATTCACTTTTAGTGCATTAAGGATTTTGTTCTGATATAGTAAATGATCCACCTTTATAAATATTTTACAGACATATTCTTTAAAGTGTTTATTTAAAGGATATATATACTCTGTTTTTATTTTTATTATATTATTCATAACTCTATATCCTTATTTTTGTCTATTAGAATTGTCCAGTTCTGAGGAGGTCAATATTGAAGTATCCTACTACGACTGTATTTTTTTGTCCAAGTCTACTTGTATTTATAACAGCTTTTACTTTGATGTACTTAGTTATTGCACTGTTTGGTGTATACAGCTTTATGACTTTTATTTTCTTCATCAGTTATAACTTTTATGATTGCATAATGAACCAGAGCAAAAGCATCTGCTTTTTTTTTTTTTTTAAAGATTTTATTTATTTGACAGAGAGAGCACAAGCAGAAGGAGAGAGAGGGAGAAGCAGGCTCCCTGCTGAGCAAGGAGCTTGATGTGGGACTTGATCCCAGGACCCTGGGATCATGACCCAGGCCAAAGGCAGCCGCTTAACTGACTGAGCCACCCAGGCATCCCAGCATCTGCTTTTTTTAATGAAAGCATAATGACTAACTCTCCACAAGCTGATAATTTCTTCCTCACAGAATTCCCAGACAATATTTTTTTGCCTCTTTTAAATATAAAAGGTCATGCAAGGACCACCAGATACTTACTGAAAACTTACATCATGTGAGGGATATCAAGATAAACAAACAAACAAAAAGATCCCAGAGGAAACATAACTCAAGACACAAAAAAGAACTAAACACATACACACATGCACACACACACACACACACACACACACTCAGCCAGACTGATATGGTACTTCTAAAACAAGACCATACGCTACAAAAAAGCAACAAGCAAATAACCTGAAAATTAAAAATATGGTTGATAGAGTTGCAATGTAAAAATGACACAAAACCCTAAAAGCTTCCAGAGATTAAAATTGTAACCTACAAAGAAATGGAAATGGAAATCATTCTAATATCAGATTACTCATCAACATCACTACTGGAAGATAATACTTTGCAAATTCTGTGGAAAAAATATTTTTAACCTAGAATATTCTACCTAGCCAAAACCATCAAATGTGAGATTAAATAAAAAACATTTTCAGATTTGGAGTTTTCCTCCTATACACCCTTCTCAGGGACACATAAGAAAGTATTTCATCAAAACAAGGAAATAACCCAAGAAAGAAGATATGTGATCTAGGAAATAGAGCATCAACCCAGTAAAGAAATAAAGGAAATTCTCAAGTTAACAGGTGGAAAATAGGCCTGTGGAAAAAAATCCATATTAAAAAAATACAGGACTCTAGAAGGAAGGAGTGGAGGGAGAAAGAAGGTTCTTGAAGATCTGATACTATGATTTAAAGAATATAAAGCAAGCAATGCAAGAAATCAATTGGCAACTAAGGATGCAAGGAATCAAAAGCACAGTACTACGGATCCTTCTTGAAACAACTACTTAAGGATAGAACCCAACCAGTCAAAAGACGAATTAAAGTGAAAAATCCAAGAAAAGGTAAACTGAGTAAAAGTGGCTGCATTAAGGACCATTAAATCAGTTTAAAAATAAAACTAAGACTAAACACTTGTAGTAAATTAATGACACTGAACAGAATGAAAATAAAATAAACCTTGATAATATAAAAATAATAAAACCACTTTTTTTTAATGGGGTAAAAGATGGTGGAAAGAAGTGTGAGAGTTAATTTCTTTGTTTTAAAAATGAAAAATGAAAGATCAGGGAATCAGCCAACAAATGAAACAAAGCATTTTTGTAAACAATAATTTAACCATTTCATTTTTTTCTTATACTTTTTCCTAATGTTAAGAAAATTTTTTAGCAATCACTATCTGTTGTAATCAAGTAATATTTATTTGAAATTCAACAATCCCTCTCTTTGTCTCTTGAGTAAAATTAAATTATTTTTATTAAATAAAAATTGTTATGTTAAAAACAGCACATATAGTAGGACTGCATTCTTATACTTCTGTTTGTCTTTTCTACCTACATATCTGTAGATAATGATGTCTGGAATATTTGTTTAATGTCATGATAGTCACACTTCTATAGTCAACAGTAGGTATTTCGAGGAGGGAATACTCTTCTATTTTATACCCTTCTGTTCTGTTTGAATGGCTTAAACTTACCAGAGTTGCTTTTTTAATGCCATTGTTTATTCAGGTGAAGTGATTATGAACCTTCACTCTTCTTCTTTCTATTGCTCTGTAATATGTTTTAAATAGCTAATATAATTACTATGTATATAAAATCATATGAGACAAATATTATGGTAATAATACCAAAAACTAACATTTGAATGGAAATTTAACCTATATTTATGTGCTTGGAGCTGTATAACAACCCTAGGAAATAATTATTTTATTTATTTCCGGTTTATAGAAGAAGAAACAGGCTCACTGATGATAATTAGGATTTGAACCCAGGGCTGGATACTTCTTAATATTATTATTCCTCAGTACTCAGTCCTAAATCTCTTATTTTCCCTAATGTTGCCCTTCATTTAAACAAACAACTGCAGCCATCTAATTTAGACATGAGTAAATATGTCAGAGTATTTTTGAAAAAAAATCCTCAAAAAACAGTGAAGAATTTTCATTTTTCAGAGGGAAGAAAATCTTCTCTTCCATTCTATAAAGCAATGTAATCATCATCCGTTCTTCTTGGACCCTCTTCTCCACAACACATTGCCATGTGATGGAACTTTACACTGACTGTTAAAGGTTTTTAAAAGTTTTCTAGCTGGTTGCAATTTTATTTTTAACAACTATTATGCATTGGTTGCAAGCTGGTGTAAAATATTCCTTACAACGTAAAATATTTTATATCACTCTGTGACAACATTCTCACTTTGAAAAGCTGCAAACTGTACATTTTACATTCTTACTAGAACGTTCCTCTTGAAAACATTTCTTCGAGTCACTTTTAACTTTAAATGTCATAGGCAGAAACTCAAAAAGAAATGTCAACCAGAACGTGTTTTGTTTATAAACATCCGCCAACAACTGTTGCTACGAAAACCGCAGAAGTCCCTTTGCAAGCCGCGCTTAATTCTGAGGAAGGAAAAGTGGACCCGGGAACCAGCCTTTCCTCTCCTGCCCACGAGGCTGGAAATGATTACGTGGAGCAGGAGAGGACAGAGTAACGACTCAGGCTTTATGTCCTGAGTATCAATTATCGTTTCAATTTTTATTTTGTAATGCTTAGCCAAGTTCCGAAAAGGGCAGGCAGGCACGGGAGGGAGGAAGACGGTGCGGGTGAGAGTTAGAGAAGAGATGAAACTCGGGAAGGAAAGGGGAGGAATAAAAGGCTTGGGGTATTCCTGCCAACCAGAAACTTCCTCCTCTTTACCCCGCCTTCTTCGCCCGGTCCTTACCTGATCTTCCAGTATCTTGTTCTCCTCATTTGCCACCGGGATAGCAAACCCATCGTCCCAATGCAGCTCCGCCAAGAATTCGCTACTCATGATAGCAAACGGATAGGGGACCTCTGCAGGCTGTGGAGAAAAGATCCGCTTGCTCGTAAAGCCCGGGAGTAGCACGCGAGGCAACCCCCTCACCCGCAAAGCTCCCCTGTAATTACCACCGCAGCCCTAACAACCGTCCCGCGCCCTTAGTTACCAAACAGGAAGTGCTCAAGCCGCCAAGCAAAACTTCCGGTTGAGAACCCGGTCCCTAGATCACGAGCAGCTTTTCCTTTTTGAGTTCCCAGGGAAGCGAAGCACTTAATCCAGAGGTTCGCTGGGGTTGCCAGGCGTCAGCATAACTTTCCCTCAAATTGCGGCTTGGGGTGGTCCCCCCCGGAGCGCTCCTGGAGGGTGTAAAGTCGGTGGCACCTGCGGTCTTTAGGTTACACAGCGTACGGGAATGGCATTGCACCACGCAACTGCCGGATCGCGCGCAGATGAGAGCTAAAGAAAACAGTAAAGCCGACTTTCAAATGGTGTTTGTTGACTTTCCTCCGTAGATGAAATCTCGTAGGCTGAAGTAGACTGGCATTTCGAAGCACAGTTCATCCCTTAGAATCGCTGATGTGTGTTTCGATCTTTGTGTTAATCTCCTGGTCTTCACAATGCTCGTCTGTACTTTGCAGTGCGTCCTAGCTAACCGCGGACGAGGACTGCGCAGAGATGGCAAACTTGGGGCGCAGAGTTTTGTGGTCCCTCCCTCGCCACTCCTACACCTTGTTTTTCTTTACATTTTCATTTAACATTCACAAATCTTCTCTTTCACACAGAAATCTGTATTTCTTCCTAATCTCGAAAAAGGAAACACTGAGCCCACATTATCATGAAGGCATTATTCGGCTGAAGAGGCGCCCCCTTTAGCACTTCACCAATTCAGTAATTTGAATTACCGGCTTCGCACTGTAGACGTTAGAGTTTACAGCTTCTGTTCTATAGCATCTCAGAACTGGAAAGAATAAAACAATCAGCTAATCTAATCATTTCATTTTCCAGATTAAGAAAACTGAGGCTCCCTAAAGTGAAGGGATTAAAGTCGCAGCACTTGAACCAGGATACAGATCTCCTACTACAAACTATGCGGTCTGCCATGAGAAATGTTCTTGGCTGAAATACCTCTACTACAGCATCATGAGCTTAAATTAATTTTGCTTATCCAATAAGCAACTGTCTGTAGCCTTTTTTGCCCTTTTGAATTTTATTTTACCATTATTTTGTTACACTTTTTATTATAAAAAGTTTAAATATAAAAAAGAATAAAGGGGGGGGCGAGAGGTGGGAAAAAAGAGCAGGGTATGATGAATGCCCACATACTCATTATCTTGATGTAACATATTTTGCCACATTCACTTCATCTATATTTTTTGCTGAAGCACTTTAAAGAAAATCGCAGACCTCATGACATTTCATCCCCAAATATGTGAGCATGCATCACTAATGTTTTAATGTTCAATGTTTTCTAACATAAATACAGTATAATTATCACATCTATCAAAATTCACAATATCAAAATTATTGAATATCATTTCATAACCATTTCAATTGTCCTGAAAATGTCTTTTTACCACTGGTTTGTTAACTATACTTTTGAAATCTTGTAGTTTTGTCTCCTTGTGCTTACCTGGTTTTCCATATATTGAATCTTATGGACTGTTTCTCTAGTCTCAAAGAGTCTCAAAGACTAAAATTAGCTTTTTGTATTCTTAAAAGCATTTATCTTTTATCTTCTATCACCATAGAAATATTTTATACATACTTTATAGATGTATTAAATGTAGCATATGTGATATATATTATTTCACTGACTACTCAGATGCAATAAAATTTTATTCTTAGAAACAACTTTTATACATTTGACAATCTATAGTATATTCCATGCATCAAAGTGTAATGAACACATTCCTTCACTGAAATACTATATTTATCGATATATACAACTACCATCTTTAGAAAGAATTTTTATATATGTGCCTTTATGGAGTATATTAAATGCGGCACACTGTGGTAAAACATCATTCACTGTAAATAACACTGTACTTATTCACATATACAACATTCTTAGAAATATCTTCTATCGGAGGTAGAATTAGCACAGCATTTTATCCCTCACTTCTGCAATGCCTAAATTCCCACGGTGGTGGAGGAGAAAAACAGCTTGTAGGGGGGATTTCAACCTGTGTGGAATAATGGAAATTTAGAGCTTAAAAAACCTTATAAAAGATGATCTTTTATAATAGTTTAGTCATTCCTACTAATGAAAACGTTAGTATCCAGCACATATTGAGATGGCATATAGTTATTTATACTGGAGATTTGTTATGGCAATGCTGCTTCCTAAAATTATTAGTGTTGTTCTGTCCATATGTCTTAAACATTCTTTTCTAATTTCTCATCCCCATTACTAATGTGAATACTGAGGCAGCTGCCTCAGCCTGTGCCAATCTGCTGATCCACCCCTCTGTGTTAGCTGGAGCTGCCAAATCCATGACCGCAGCTGTCTTTGCTGTTGTCCTGCAGGCCTCAAGGACATCAGAAGTCTGGCAGACAAATCCATGCAAAGAGTCCCATTTCTCATGTCTCATGGATTCTATTTCCCGAATTTCAGAAATTTTGTACAATGCTGAATTTTGTACAAAATGTCCGTACATTCTTCCTAATTCTACATTTCTGCCTTAAAATGATATTCCTGCTTCTCCACCTCATCACCACAGCATTCTATATCATCCAGTTGCCACTTTTAGAATCCCACTATTATAACTCGACTTGAATTTACTCAGATCTAGACTTGGAAACAAAACCCGAAGTTTTACAAGCCTTGTTGCTGACCATGAAATACTCAATTTAATCCCAAAACGCTAAGGTAGATGTCATTCTTTTACTACCGCATTCCCAAGTAAATAAACCTCATCCAAATCAGATTTTTCAGGCTAAAATATGAAGAGGTTTATGGTTTTACAAAAATAATGTGATATTTGTAAAAAAAAAAAAAAGAGAGAGAGAGAAAGAAAAAGAAAAATACATATATGTATAAAGAAAAAGGAAAAGCTATCTTTCACCTCATTGCCAAGAGGTTGCCACTGTTTGGCATGTGTCCTACCAGTATTTTTTTAAGTACAGCTATATATACATAGATATATTAACTTTTCCCACAGAAATAGAATCATATTATAAATATTCTTTTGCAGATTCATTTTATCACTTAACAATAGTGGCCATGTTTTCATATCAGTACATTAGATCTTTGGTCTTCTAATGGCAGTTTAAACTTCATATTATCCACCAATTTTAACTTTTTAAACAATGCTACAATGAACATTTTTATTGTACTGTATTTCATCAAGTCTGGGGTCTACTTATTTTCACATCTGAGTATCTCTAAAGTTGGGATACATATTTCAATCAGCAGTGTTTTTGATTTGGTGAATAAGAGATAACCTTGCACACATTTGTGTTTCTGCATGACCTATTCTTAGAAGTAAAATTAATGGAAAACGTATATAAGCAATTCTATTTTGATATACTGAATTCTTTCAAAACGTCTTTATATACCAACAGAATATGGCAGTATCCTTGCATACCCTGCATATTATGAAGTAATATTTTACAACCTAAAGAGAAAAATATGGTATCTTGTTGTTTATTGCCAATTTTTTAATTATGAGACTGAGCATCACATTTCTTCAGCTAAGAATTTATCATATCCTAAGACAAGTACCATATGATTTCACTCATATGTGGAATTGAGAACAAACAGATGGTTACCAGAGGGGACGTGGGTGGGAGATAGTTAAAACAGGTCAAGAGAATGAAGAGTACACTTATCATGATGAGCACTGAGTGATGTTCAGAATTGGTGAATCACTATATTGTACCCCTGAAACTAACATAACACTGTACATTAATTATATTGGAATTTTTAAAAATAAAAATAAATAAATAAAATGTATCATATCCTTTGCCCATCCATCTCATTAGGCTGTCTCTTCTTTTTGAATTATAACAGTGCTTTCTATTTTATGGACAGTATTCTTTGTGCATGCTTGTGTGTGACATGTGTGTATGAACAGTATTTTTCTCCCAATCTGTTTTTTGGGGGTTTTAAAACTTTGTTTTTGGTATATTTTGCCATACCACCTCAGAAACTGCTCTTGTTGCCATTAGTATGCTTCATATTCCAATGGGAAGTTTAGCATCAACTCGCCAGATCTATGCGCTGCATTCAGCTCAGCTATTCCTTCCCTCTCTTTTCTCATGGCTTTTTAGGACTATCAGTTTCCCGGTAACCTTCTCAATCTCCCTTGTTGCTTTATTGTGTCCTGTTTGGCTTCTTAATATTGGTATTCCTCAAGACCCAAAGCTTGCCTCTCTACTCTTCTCTTCTTACACTTGCTTCCTAGGTGATCATAGCCATTTTCATGGCTTTAAGTACCATGGACTTCTTTAACGACTCCCATTAGTATTTCTCTATCCCAGATCTGTCTTCTACGCTAAACATATGTCCAACTGCCTATCTGACAGTCCCACTGAGATGTGTCCTAGATGAGATGCCTCAAATCTAATACACAGGTACAAGACAGAATTCTTGATTTCATCCCACACATATTTCAAACCTCTTTCTCAGTCTTTCCTAGCACAGTAGAACCAAAGCCATATATCCAGCTGTACAAATTCAAATCCTAGCTGTCATTACTGACTCCTTCCTCTTCCACACTTTCCACCTCCAGTACCTCACTATGACATCTCACTTCTACCTTCAAGTCTATATTGATTCTACTTCTCTCCATCTTCACTGCCATCACTCCAACTCAGACTATCATCATTTCTCATGGCACTAATGCAGCTGCGTCCTCAACGTATCCAGTTCTTTCTTCAATGTTCTTTTTCTATTCCAGCATCCAATCCAGCATACCACATTGCATTTTGTTGTCATGTCTCCTTAGTCTCCCCTGGTCTGTGACAAGTTCCCAGTTTTTTCTTGTTTTTCATGACCTGGACAGAACTGAGAAGTACTGGTCAAGTGTTTTGTAGAATGATATTATTTGGTTTATCTGATGGTTTTCTCATAATTAGGACAGAGTAATGGGTTTTAGGAAAGAAACCCAT